ATGAATCCAAAGAACATCTTTATAAAGGGGCATTACAAGAACGATTAGCAGTATGTCTTAAATATTTTCCAATTTAGTGATCAATAATTTTTAAAATTTTAAAGGTATAACTTGTGCTTGTGTAATTTTAATTTTTATGCTCAATAGATTATTTTGAGATCCGAAGAATTTCAATGAACTTTTTCACTGCATACTTTTAAGCACCTGGGTAAACGATACAAATTTTAAAATTCACTAAACCAAAACACATCTTTATAAAAGGGCTTTTTAATATGTTTAACAGTATATCTTAAATATTTTACCATTTAGTGATAAATGATGCTCAATGATGCTCAACAGATAAATTTTGAATCTGAAAAATTTCAATGGATTCTTTCGCTACATATGTACTTTTAAGCACCTTGATAAGCAATACAATTTTCAAAATTCACGAATCCAAAGGAACTTTTTCTCTATAAATGTGCTTTGCTCATAGGTCTAACAGCATATCCCAAATTTTGTCTTATTTAGCCAAATTTCACTGCCTGCGAAAGTGTGTATTTTTGATCAGCTCATCAACAGTCGGCTTTATTTTGCATTGGTTATTCTCGTTCTCGTTCTGGTTCGCTACTTTTTATGCGGGCTCTGTCAACGCGCACACACACTGGCTCACGCCTATTTACACACACCCACTCACCCACCCACACACACGCACACACATACACACGCCCTTTGGGAAAGGCAAAAGGAACGGAAAGAAAGAAAGGCCAGGCCAACTAGCTTGCATACTTTCGAGCGCCCTGTCTTTCACTTGGGCTCATTTCTCCTTTCTTTTCTGCTGGCTTATGTTAATTTTTGCGCGAGTTTAATTGCTTGCCACATGGCTGCTGATGCCAAGCGGATGCCGTTAGCTGTTAGCAGTTAGCTGCTTTCTGTTGCCTGTTTTCTGTTTTCTGTTCTCTGTTGCCTGCTTTTCAGCTTTTCCTCGGACCCGAGATGCGAGCTGCTTTGCTGCCTGGCTTGTTTGCGGAAATTAAATTGCTGGACTGGCTTTCACCTTATGCTCCGGCTGTCCGCTAAGCATATTGCCATGCGAAATGTGCCCACACCGGGAGAAATTAGCTGAATCAGCCGTTTAATTCCTTTGGATAATATGCCACATTTTAAAATATCTGTTGATTGCTTGACTCTTCAAAATTGCAATTATGTTACTAAATATCTATGTACATATCAACATGTTGTAAACGATGAGCATACATTATAATGATCATTCATAATAATGATATTATATACAATTATCTATTTAGACATTATCTCTATAACCCTTGTTATGATAAGGTATACGCATATGTATATTGTGAAAAAAAATACATGTAATTTGTCAAACCTTTAATTAAAAGATTGATAGAAAACAAACTAAAATATTGGGGTAAGTCCCATTTCAAAGACCTTTTTGGAATGGTTTTACTACAATAAGGATATATTTGTTTTTTGCCTAACTAAATCTTCTGTTTCAAGTGTTTGTTTTCTCTATAATTCCCTTAAAAAGCACATTTGTAAAGTACTTTTTAGTTTTTAAAAGGTTGAAATATGTTTTGTTGGAAAGGACATGTAAGAAATGTGTTTCCCATGAAAAGTAACTACTTTCTGTGAGTTTTTAGGACCTTTTTCGCCGTGCACACTTTGGGAGAGGTTGTGCGAACTGGAGGGCCGTAGGTCGAGGGGGTGGCGGTGCGGGCGGTGGGGACGGAGGGGGGCCTGAGCCGCGCCCCACCGACCTACTCGCACAAAGTTTAATCAAAACGAGAGCACTGGAAACGGAGAAAGCAGCGCTGCCGACGTCGACGGCGCCGCCAACGCACACACACACATACACACTGGGGAGCTCTCACTTACTTACTTGCGCTCTCTCCCTCTCCCTTTTTCGCTTTCACTGCTCTCTCCTGGCGCTATCTCCTGCCCTCTTGCTCTAACCTATTGCTTATTTGTAAATGTTCCGTTGTAACGGTGACATCGCTGTGGTTGTTGTTGCTGTTGTTGCCGATGCTGCTGTTAGTGCCTTTGTTTTTGTTTTTGGGTTTAGTGATGCTGCCGGCGTCGCTGCTTTGGTGTTGGTGTTGGTGTTGCTGTTGCTTTTGTTGCCTTTGCTGTTTCTGTTTCTGTTGATTTTGGCCATTTGCCGCTCCCAAAAGTATGCTTTGTAATTTTTTGTATTGTGCGCGCACATCTTCTTCTTCGGCTTTCTGCTTTCTAGTATCGTATCCTGCCGCTCCCTGCTGCCCCGCCCCTGCTCCTCCTGCGCCTCCTGCTCCTTCTCCTTCTACGCCTCTCCTTTTTGGGATCCACTGCCTGCTCAATTCATTTCGCCTTTCGCCAATTTTATTATACACAATGCGAACTGCGACGCCGACGTCGCTGCCTCCGTTTTTACTTGCGTGCCAAAAGTTTCCACATTTAACATTGTTGTAAATCGGGTTTATTATTTTATTTTATCTTTCTCTCTATTTTTTTTTTTTTTTGCTATATAGACACAACACAACTCTTAATTATTTTCGCTGTAATTTATGTATTTTATTATTGCTTGTTGTAGAAAAATTCCCTTGAAATCGTTGGCAGCTTTTTTGCACGCGCTTTGTTTTTCACTCGATTATTAGCTATGATTTTCAGCGGAATTTAGAGAGAGGCTGTAGCGCACGTTGCTAAATCTCATCCGGGACTGAAGCTGAAAATTTTAGCCAAGGTATATAACGGTACGGAGCCGAGAGGAGAAAGAGCGAAAGCCGAGCAGCAGCCGCAGCAGCAGCAGCCGAGCATGAGAGAGAGAAGAGCAAAGTTAGAGAGCGACGGAGAGAGAGAGAGCGCGAATTCTTTATGCTGGAATTTGTGTTTGTTGGCGAGCATCCTTTTACCAACACCCTCGCACAAAGGACATACGGAAAATGGAATGCCAGTGTGTGTGTGCAGCCGAAAATGTGCTGGCAGCGGAACTTAATGGATGAATATGAATGAAAACGCCGCAACAGTCCAACTGAAAGGGGGCTTAGGGGGGAGGGGGGTTGAGGATAAGGACACCCAGTGGGTGGCTTGGGGGAATTCCAGGTGGCGAAGACAAGTCCGCACGAGGCCCACGGGCATTGCTCGAGTGCCATCTTTTGTAGCAGCAACATCTACAACTGCCACATCTGCAACAGCAACAGCAACAGCAGCAACATCAAGTGTAGCAACAGCAAAGCCAACAACAACAGTGGCAACCTTTCAATGGGACTCCTGGCGAATGAGCGTAAGTGTGGCGCGTTAGTGTGAGTGCCGCTGCGAGGGTGTTCGTGTTAAGTGGAAACGCTGGAAAAGCGCATTCTCACATTTCAATTAAATAATACCAGCGGCGTTCGGTCACAATTGCCAGTTCAATGGGCATTCCGGGCCGGCACTACATTTGTAAGGAAAATAACCACTTGAGCCAGCTTTGAGTCAATTTTAACTGCAGGGTTCTTTATTCAACGAAGAGCAGGATAAGTACAATCGAGGTGTTGAATGGTTAAGAAAACGTGATAAAATACAAATTTCATTTTTTAAAAAGACTCTTGAATTAAAGTGAACTATCCTTTTTTGCTCGTAATTATTGGAAAAGGTAAATCTGGCCTATAACACGTTTATTACTGCTCTTCTTGGATTATGTAAGACACAAATGAACAATTTATTGTATTATGACTACTATATTCATGCAATTAATCTTAAAGATTTTACCAAAATCTAATCTTAAACTCAACTTAAATATTTTCTATAAGCTTTATACACAAACTTCGTTTTAAAACAAGCACATCCCAATGTGCCTGACCGTTAGTGAGTCCACAATTTAAAGTTAAAACCCCGATTCGTGTTTCTGGGTAATAATTAAACGCCCGCCAAAAGCCAACAGCTAATTACATTACAGTATTTTAACTTCGAACCCTTTGTCAATTACAAGCGGGTCCCGGTCCCTCAAGTGCCTTGGCTTTATTAATAGCAACTCATGTTGCGTTTAAACTGGACAACAATGGATCTAACGCGCCTGACATGGCACTGGCAATGGCAGTGGCAGTGGCCCCGGTGACCCACACCCACCCACTTCCCCCACATCCCACCTACCCACATCACCCATCCGAATCCTGGCAACCGACAAGCCCGCACTTTCCCCTTGGGCTTGGCATGTGCTAAGGTCTGTATGCTCGTCATACCATCATATATGATATAAAAATACATAAATGGACAATGCAAAGGGAAAGATGAGTAAGAGCTCTGTGCCACTGGGCGGATGATGTGGATGTGGATGTGGATGTGGCTGAGAACTGGGGTGGCCAACTCGGATTAGGGGCTGAATTGATTGCGAGTGGGCCGAGGGCGTGGTCCTGAGAAAACACAGTTCCAAGAACTGCTGCAATAAATGACCAGAAATCGAGTGCTGCAGGAAGGTCAAACTTATCAGTGGCCAATGCATCCATATGCTGGAATTCGCTAGCGACACTCAAGGAAGCGGCAAAATTCTTCAGAGACCCACCACGTTGCCTATACGCACCGTTGACCATGTAATCGAAAGGCACAGCATGCCATCGCCCAGCAAGAGAAATGCCAAGCCCAGTGGACAGATACTTTGGTTGGGATGCCTGCCTGCGAGAGTTCAGCAATTTTTGGTACTGACATATTTTCCGACATCCGAACCAATTTCACTTTAGCTTCCAGTCAACCAAGCTACTGCAGTTAAGTCGCTGAAGTTTTGACGGCAAAGTTTTCCATTTAATCTTGCCAAATTGGATTTATGTGAGGCTATAGAATGCCGTAGAAAAAGAAACTCAGACCAGGGTAATAACCATGAGGATAGTAACCTCAAATTCCATTCAAAACATAAATTCCTTGTAATTTTTCTATTCTTTTTTAATATTTTTTTGTTGAATATTGTTTTTGTTTAATTTTAAATATATATATATATATATATTTATATAAAATATATAAGCATAAACTTGTACAAATATAAATATCTTTTATCGTTACCCGACGGCCTCTCACTATCCATCTGCATATCTACGTCCGTCTGCAACTCGAAACTCGAGCGCTTACACAATTTGTTTCTTGGAATCCCAACATCTTACATATTTCTCCTGTTGCCACATATTAACTTTTGCTAAACTTTCCCGTAGATGTGTCTCTCTGTCTCTAAGTGTGTGTTTGTTAAGTTGCATAGTTAAGATACAAATATTTATAGATATATTTACAATAGCAATAAGGTCAACAAAAAATATTTGTTTGGCGTACGTATGTTTGTCCTTTTGTTTACGGGAGTGTGTGTGTGTGTGTATGGTGTGTTAAACATAGATAAATATTAAGTAAATTTAGTTCTGCTCTTGACGGTTCGTGCACATATAACATATGTATATGTATATACATGAGGACATGTATACTCGTAGATATGGTATTTTAACGCATTGGATTTTTCGAAAGATCGATAGACATGTACAATAATAATAGTAGAACAATAGGCTAACATACACTGAAATGTGATAAAATTAAACTTATGCAATACGTTTTTACGACACAAAAAACTTAAGCTTGACCCGACGCGCTGCTTGGCACGACCTACATTCATACATGTCCATCTAAAATATATACTCTCTATATATAAGCAAAGGCAGAGGCGCTCAATCTCTGGCGGAAGCCTTAATGGATGGCTGACAATTGTTTTGTTACGTTCTGCATAGCTGTCATAGCTGCTGCCGCTGCAGTTCCTTTGTTCGCCGGTTCGACAGGCTGGCTTCCCGTCCCCGGCATCACGTTCTTGGCCCTCAGCCCTCGGAATACGAACTCAGGCTGCTGCGCGTCGAGCCGGTGAAGTGATCTCGCTGCAGCGTGTCCGAGGGCATGGACACAATCAGGGCTCCGCCGTACAGGGTCTCCATTTCGTCGAGCTGCTGGGCGAAGGTCTCCTCCAGGCGCTGTTTCAAAATATCGGATACACATTAGTATTTCAGAGAACGAGGGTATATTTTACTGTGCAACAACATTCAATCTATATGACAATATCAAGTTAGAGATATAGAAAAGGGGTGGGGAAAAAAGTTTAGCTATATAGCGCATGCATTAGTAGGACATTTAGAGCTGAAGAACTATACATAGAATACACAGTGCCTTCCGGAACCGTCAGATATCGGTTATTGAACCAAATCGTACAATTGGAAAGCACTTTGGGGATAGATTAAAGGACTAACCTCTTGTTGCAGCCGCTGCTGTAGTTGCTTTACACATAATGAGAAGAGGAGAGCCGGCAAGAAAAGTTTTTGGATACAGATTTTTGGTTTGGTTTGGTTTTTTTTGTTTGGTTTTTCGATAGCAGCGCGTTGTTGTTTGCATATTTGCATGTGTTTATATGTATGAGTGGGTGTGTACAGTGAAGCATCATGAAATTTTCGATATGATAATATTTATTTGTATGTTTATAGTTATAGGAATGTTTAGAGTAAGATATGGCTACACAAATGCTTGGCATGTTGCTAATTGGAATGTTGATTGTATTCTTTATTATTCTCTTTGTTTTCATTTTCGTTTACTAAGTACTTCGATAATACTGCTTAAATGGAATGCATTTGGAGGCGGAGGGCTGATCCAAGTCAAGAAAATACTTTAGCATTAAAAATAGGCAAACAAGTAATTCACTTTTCGTTCAATAAAATAGCATTTCCAACAAACATAATCAACTTTTGGCAAGACAGAATGTATGGCAATTTCCGATGCAGAGCGGTTAATGGGTGAGAAAAGCTTTACAAATTCGGTTAGCAGGCTGAAGTGTTTGGGAAAAGGGTTTGAGACTACGAGGGATGTGCAGTTAGCCAGCACCAAGGCGAGGGATGAAAAGCAGGTTGATTGGGTGTCAGTAGGTGTGAGTACAGGTTTGATTGACTGGTTAGTATTTAGACGCTGCGGTGCATGCGGGAATCTGGCTGCTGAAACGTGGCAAGTGCTGATCGCGATGATCCTTCTGCATCTTCGCCTCCTAAATGGCCGAGGAGTCCTCATCGCAGCTGTGCTGCCGCTGATTGACCCTCGGCAATCTGTACTTGGCCGTATACAGATCGTAGTAAAAATCTTCGGAGGAGGCGGCCGAGTCCGCTGATGCCACGCTTCCATTGAGGTGACTGTTTCCCGGTTTAACGGAGGACCTCAGCTGCGGCTGCACCTCGTCCAACAGTGCGGCTGCCTTGCGTCCGGAGTCGAAAACCAGGTCGGCATCGCTGGTGAACCGCGTGGACAGTTCGTTTATGTTGTACATCGACTGGGCACTGCTCAGCGACGATCTGCCACTGCTCCGGCTGGCCAGAGAGGGTCGCTTGATCGCAAAGGACGTGGTGTGCAGCAGGCGCTGGGTGTGGGCCGTCAGCACAGGTCCCTCGTGAATGCGCAGCTCCACGTTGTTGGCCTCTGCCGCTGCTTTGGCATCCAAACGGCTGAATCTGTTGGTGACCAAGCCCAGTTCATCTGGAGTTTTGGGCGACGCACTTCCCCCCTAAAGGTGCTCATGGCCGGCTTGGCATTTACATCGTCCGCGCTGTTCAGTGGCGGAGTAGAGGTCACCACCTTGACCAGCTCGTTGGCCGGGAGGTGTGTGATCAGACGCAATTGGTTCTGTGCCGGCAGCGTTGTAACGCTGGCCCGCTTCATCTGTTCGCTCAGCATCTGCTCCTCGTCCTCCTCCAGCACCAGGTCGCTGATCATCTGCGATCGCTGCTGTTTGTGCAGAATGGGAGTACTGGGCACACTTTGGCTAAGATCTGGAGCGGATCCACGGAAGTTGGACAGCCGGCTGCCACCGCCGCCCATCATCAGGAGCGAGGAGCGTGAGCGTGGCATGTGCTGCGGATCGATGAAGGTGTTGCGGGGCAGGATGCGCGAGGCTCGCTCGTTGTAGATGTTGCGAAGGCGCACGGGCAGCTCCACCTCTTGGTCCTCGAACTCCTCCCTGTTTGTCACCAGGCCAAAACGCTTCTCATGCTGATCGATGGCTAGCTTGATCAGTTGGTTCAGCTCCTATGCTCGTTTTGATTTGGTTGTTAAACACATGCATGACCCAATCCGTTGATCGGTTGGTTGGTTTTTTGGTTAGTAGTTGGGAAGCACAGCGGTAAGCATTTTTTATATATTTTTTTAATTTTTATCAGTTATCGGTTTCGGTTTTTTTTTTGGTTTAGTTTTGTAGGTAGTAGTAGATACAGTAGGCCACCAAAGTGAATGCATTTGCGTGGGTGTAAAGAGAGAGAAAAAGTTGAAAAAATAATTGGATTAAGTTCAGCCTTGGTTCAGTCAAGTTGCATCGGCTTAAAGATGAGCTAGGGGTTCGTCAGTCACTGTCCCAGTTATCGTATCACTTGCAGTCGCGCCTCAAATTCAAAATAGATTAGCTAACCGATGATTCATTGTGTCTATTTTTTTTACCCCACAAGCAAATGAGTCAGAAGCCTATTGATTGAATGACGAATCAATTTGGTAAAGACAATTAAACTACGATTTACAAACACATAGATAGTACAACCCCGATATTGCTCATCTCTAAGCCGCACAACTTTGAAGGAACTGGTCGGGATGGGTTTCTTTTTAAGGGGAAATAGGGGAGCACAAGACACCATAGTTCACCGTAAACCAATCAATATACAATAAGTATCATTACCAACTTATATCAAACGAGTTGATCTACTTTGTACATTTAAAAGAACACATAACACCAACGAAATAAGGCGGAGAGCAATTGGCTGAGAGAGCTCTTTGGCGGATCTCGAATGGGGATGGGGCATACACACCTGTTTGCGGGGCACCAACTGTTCGCGCCACTCGCGCAGCTCCCCCTTTAGTCGCTCATCGATCTCCGATAGCTTGGATTGCTCGTGCTCCACCAGAGCCCTTCGCTTCTCGTTCTGAAGTTGCTCAAGCTCCCTGCAATGGGTGTACAATAAGTACCGGTTAATGCATACATTCAGACCAACCACTCACTTTATGGCGCTTTCGCGTGTGGCGCGTAGCTCTTCCAATTGCTTTTGATGCTTGACCTCGAATCTTCGCTCCTCCTGCATGTAGCGCTTCTTCTCTTGCTCCTGGAACTGCAATTGAAATAAAGATTAGTTACAGTCCCTCTTTTGTTATACCAAAAGTCATTCCTACCTTCTTCAATCGATCGCGTTCAATTTCTGGATCTAGGTTCGTAGAAATACGTAGGGATTCACGGAACATAAGGTCTCGTGCCTTACGCTCAGCTCGGATTCGCTTGGGTAGCGCCCGCTTCTCCATCGTCTGTTTCTTGACCATGTCCTCCTCCTTGCGCTGCAGCATACGCTTCACCTGATCAAGCTCCTTCTCGTGCCGGATGATCATCTGGTGGCGCTGCATGAAGCAGAGCTCCTTTACATGCCGTTTAGACAGCTGGTGGCGCTCGTGCAGCTGCTTCTCCTCCAACTCCCAGAGCAGTGCTTCCCGCGTTCTCATCGCGTTCTGCTTCTGCTGCAGGAAGTTGCGGTTGATGGTGGCCAGGTGGTCACGATGCTTCTCGCTAAGTCGTCTTAATAGAAGCTCATGCCTCTCCTTTAAGGAATCGAGGAAGGCGCGCTCCTTCTCCTCGTGATCAAGCTCCATGGCCGAACGGCGCTGCTTAAACTCGTCCTTGCGTTTGTCCTTGGGGAATAGGTCCACCTCCTGCTTGAGCAGCCGGATCTCCTGCTTGAGGTTCTCGCGGAAGATCTTCAGCTCCTGCTCTTGCTCGGAGCGAATACGCTTCGACGAGGAGCGCAGCTCGTTCTCCTGCGTCTGCTCTGTCTTTTCTACTAGCTGCTTGTGCTGGCGCGCCAGCATATCCATGTCCGCCTCGTAGGTCTTCTCCAGCGACGATCGCTCCTGCTCAAAGCGGCGATCCTGCTGCTCCTTGGCCTGCTGCTCCTTTACGTACAATTCGGTCTGCTGTTTCTTCTCCTGCTTTTGTAGCATCTTCAGTTCACGCAGCTCCTGCTTGCGGAAGTCGTGGTCATCGTAGATTCGTCCGTTCTCATCGTCGCCGTAGATCACCCGACTTGTGGTGGTGGTCATCTGCACACCATCGATCTCGAATTTACGGGTACGCTTGCGTGTCTTCTTGCGCAGATTGCGCAGCTCAATCTCCTCCTTGGTGAGACCTTGAGCGTTGACTCCCTTGACCACGGGCGGAACTCTCGCCTTGGGCCGAATCACTACCTCCTCTTCCTCGTCGATGGTCTCATGATTGTGGTTATTCGTCACCGACGGAGGCGGTGGAGGCATCAGCACAGCCGCTGGAGGCTGCGGCTTGTTATTGTGATCCGTCTCGTGCCGGCTGTCCTGACTAGTGTTGGTGCCAATGCTGTCCACGTCGGATCCTCCGCTGCCGCCAACCTGCACCTCAATACCTCGGCGTCCGCGCACCGAGCCATTCTCGCTCAGCGAGCTGTCCGGCGATCGCTTATCGTGCTTGAATCGGTTCACAATGATGTTCACGTCCTCGGGCACAATGCCGACTCCGTTGGGCTGGCGCTTGCCCAGCTCATTGCTGCTATCCTTCACCTTAACCACCTCATCGCCCACGGTAACCACTGACACGTGGCTCGTGTCCATCAGATGGTCGCTGTGGTCATGACTGTGGCTGCCTGATGCCGTGTTATAAGCCGAGTCATCATCCGCGTAGGAGGGACTCACAATCAACACCTCACTCTCGTCCAGCTTGCGGGCGTGGACAGTGGAAGCAGTCTGCGGCTGTGGCGGAGGAGCAGGAACTATTCCTGCTGGCTCATTAACAGCCAATATCATTGAGGATTGCTTGTGGGGAGGCGTGCTGGCATCGCCCAAGCTGTCGTCCAGCGAGGGGAAGTCGTCATCCGTCGAAGACTCGTGGAGGTGAGTGCTCTTGTTCAGATCGTTGGACACGATGATCACCTCGTTCTGCGGCGTCACCACCGAGTTGTCGATGATGACCGGAGGATGGGTGCTGGTCACCACTGTAATTTGACTCACCGACTCCAAACTGTTTGGCAGAACCAAATGCTGCGCTTGTGGGGGCAGCGGTTGATGATGCTGCGGTGTGGGCGGATCGCTGTTGATGGTGATCAGGGAAGTACTCGAACTGAGGACAGCATTGGAAACGCTGCCCGAGGAGCTTGAGGAGGCCACCGATTGCACGGACACAATGGAGGAGGCTGTGGGCGAGGGCGGCTGCGGTTTTGGCTCCATCGTCTCTTGGCCAATGGCCACCTCAATGGCCGTGGTGACTGGGGAGGCGGGTTCGGGCGTGGCCATCTTTTTAGGTGATATCTGGGAATCGCTAGGAGACGGCTTGGCATTTGCAAGGCCCAATGGTGACGGTGGGGGCGGGGCTTTGCCCTTTTCCTTTTTGACAAAGTGCTGAAGAAAAAGGAACATTAAAATCGATTCGTATGATATAACCAAACGAGCTATTCTTACCTTCTTGTCGGATTCGGTTTTTTCGGCTGCTTCTGCAACAGCTGCCGCATCCTCGGTTTTCTTTTGCAGCACGGCCGCTGTGGTTTGGGCTGGTGGTGTAGGTGGCTGCTGGACTTGCGGTGGTGGCGTTTGTTGGGACGACGGCGGCGCTGGAGCAGGCACTTTGGTATGCGGCGGCTGCTGGGCTGCCGCTTCAGCATTGTCATCCTTTGTGTGGTTTGGTCTGTCCGGAGTGGTTGCTTTAGTTGTGGTTGTAGCTGCTGCTGCAGTTGCCGCTGCTGCGATTGGTAAACTGCTACTTGGTTGGGACTGCTCTTTGGCATCCCGCAAAATGGATGTAGGTGTACCTGGAACTGTAAAGGGAGTATATAGCATGAGCGGGCGGTTTTAAGGTGTACATATAAACTTGGGTTCTTACGTTTGTCAATGTCTTGGCTCTGCAGCGAAGCAGAGTCATCGTCCAGGTCGAGCTGGAGCGCCGAGTTGCGGGGTTCCTATGAAAGATTAAAAAGAACTCATTAGCATAACGATAATTATACCAATTCCTAAAGTACCGCTCCTTAGCTAGCAGAGCTACTTGACTTTTACTACTTCGGCAACTCAAGCTACAAACTTCTAACTACTTTCGGCGTGCCGAATTTGCATACTATCATTAGTAAAATCCCAGCAATGAGCAATTCCTATTTTTAAACCCCAAAACAACCCTAAAAGAATTTGTTTACATCCGAAGTTGTGCTCTAAACGCAGTGTTGGCAAATTCTATCTGCTATTGCTCCATAAAAAATATCTATGCCTGGGGGTAAGGAGCTTATAAATAGTGAAACTGACACGTTTGTCAGCTATGTGCTGGTTAGACTGATTAGTAATTTAAAACCCTGTGTGATTGAAAGTGTGCTTGCTATAATTACCGCAAGATAACGATAGCAAGGGCTTACGAAGAAACCCAAGCACATAAACAAATACACAACAAACGAAGAATGCCTCCGTCGGAGGAGCTAAGCGATAAACGGCATTTGCCAATGCTGATAAAATATGTAAACTAATTGTGCGCCCCGCTTTTGGAGGACAGTGCCTGGGATGCAGTGCCGGATGGGAGGGGTAGGGGCGGCGGCGGTAACGGGTGCGGGTGCCAGGAACGGACGGAGGACGGACTGGTTGCTGTAGAACGACTTACCAACCCTCTGATAGAGCGAGCGCCGCTTCACTTGGCGTTTAAGCTTCTATATCAATTATTTCCAAGTAACCACATACAAATGATAAGAACAGACATTGCGACATTTTGGCAGAACAGAACGGAACGTAACATAAACGCAAGGCAAAGAATAGTCGATAATAAAACAAGATAAACGTATAAAAATAAAGAATCCCGTGGTGCGATTTTGGTTGGGTTTTGAGGCGGCAGCGTGTAAGAGAGAAGAAAGAGCAGTTGGAGAGGTGAGAAAACGTAGAGATTATCATCACGTCTAGCAGTTAAACTACAAGGGTGCGGTGCAGGGCACAAGGACTTCGGGGGCATCAAAGGCACACTCACCTCGGTCTCGTCGTCAACCACCTCCTCCACGACCTCGGCCTTGTACTCGAGCAGCAGATCCTTGATGGGCTTGGAATCCAGATTCCTGTTGATGAAGCCATGCTGCATCAGCACATCCGTCGTGGGCCTAACCTGGGGATCCTGTGCGGCACAAATAATATTTCCAGTTAGAAAACGAAGTAACTCAATGGGCCATTGAGCTACACACCTTGACTAAGGACTTCTTGAGGAAGTCGTTGAACTCCTTGCTCCACCTGGAGGGCTGCTCCAGCTTGGGCGGCTCGCTCTTTTGGATTTTGAGCAGGACTCGCATGGGCGACATCTCGCTGTTGGGCGGCTCCATCTGGGCCAGCTCGATGAGCGTGATGCCCAGTGACCAGATGTCTACTTTGTGATCGTACGGGTTGTCCCGGAACGTTTCGCAGAGCACCAGCTCCGGGGCCATCCAGTAGGGAGTGCCAATGAAGGTGTCGTGCTTCTGCATGGTGTGTTTGTTCTTGGCCGAAACACCAAAGTCCGCTGAAAACGTGAAATTGTGTTTAAATGGTGATGGGATGAGGGGTATCTCGAGCACTTACCCAACTTAACACCACCTTCCATGGTGAGCAGCACGTTTCCTGCCTTCAAATCGCGATGGATGACTTTGTTGCGGTGCAGGAAGGTGAGACCCTCGGTCATGTGTTTGCAAACATAGGCAATCTGCGGCTCAGTCAGGGGCTTCTCCAGCTCCACCATGATGCTGTCCAGGGCTCCGCCGTCGCAGTACTCGATGAGCATCTATAAGAGTCGGGTATTCCCAGAGATTACTCATGATTCCGGTAAAATAGGAAGCCCCTTAGATACTCACCCATAGCTTATCGTCGAGGGAGAATGCCTCATACAGCTCCACTATATTTGGGTGCTTGATCTCCGAGAGAATGTCGATCTCGACCATGTGATCGCTGAGGTTCTCCTCGTCCTCCAGTTGACACATCTTGGCGGCGGCGTAGCGCTTGTGCTCCTTGTGCTGGGCCTTGTATACCTTGCCGAAAGCTCCATCGCCAAGCTCCCCCACCATTTCCCAGAGCTCCTCCGGATCCGTGTCCATCTTGATGTTGTTGTACAGGCGTTTCTTCTTGGCCTCACCTCCGCCGAGGTGGAAGACCTTCTTCAGGTTGGTGATAAAAGACATGTTGGCTGTTTTGTAGATTTCCCCTAATGACGACGCGACGATGATTTCTTGGGTTGAGTGAGTCTACATAGTGAGCTCCTGGGCGAGAGTCCAAGCAGGCAAACTAGATTTGGTGAAAGCTGCGGACATTGGCAAGCGTTTATTGATTGGACAGACAGGCAGACAGGCGTATTCAAGACTTGGCAGGGTTTCAAACCTCAAACTGAATGTGGCCAAGTCTAGAATATAGAACATAGGGAATATCGAAGAATATAGCCCAGTTTTCGTGGTCTAAACTAAACTCACCTGCTTTGCAGCACTCTCTCCCCAGATTCCTTCTCTTTTCTTAGCGAAATAGGCCAAAAAGCGGGGATTGTGGGCTTGGTTTTGGCCCCGTCTTTAGCGCTTCTGTATTCTGTATGTTTTATAATTTAATTAGCAGCTCGCGAGCTCTAATATTTGTAGAAAAAACACGTACGAATGGGAGGAAAATGATTACAAACGAGAAAAAGTCAAAGACGTAGACAAAAGAGCGCAGTGCGAGTGTGTGAGTGCGTGTGCGCCTCGGCTGTCTTGGTATTTGTGAGCTGGTCTCTGGGCTTAAAAAGCCCCTACCGCCCCCCTCTTTCCCACAAACACAACCTTAATTTGGCCAAATCTCGGGGAAACTAAGCGATTTGCAAAGTGCAAAGTTAACAATTAAGTTGTGGCGCCTTCGATTCGCACTAGGTAGTTTGCAATTGGTAAACAACACGCGCACGAATCGCGATTTTAGGTAAAATCAACATCTCATTGATGAATTGATGATTACGGAGCAAATGAAGTCGGCGAATGGGCGTGAAACTTGGAGACGCACGCAATCGGAATGGGAATCGGGAATTACCTCATCCGCGCACACACTCACTTTTACGGTTTGCGGCTTTATCACTCACTGCACTATCGCTATTTCGACGGTTTTTGCCGCTCACTGAAGGCCTTTAAAACGTATTTTCCTTTCCCCCGAAAATGCTTGGAAATTTCTCTCGCGCAAACGCTTGGTGTTGCCACTGTGCTGCGATTGCACCCTGTTCGGCTGTCTGGCAGCGCTGGCCAAAAATGGCCGTTTAGGTCATCTGTGCAAGAGGAGGGCAGCACTATTTGCCTTCGCCAAGGGCAAAAACAACACTAGCACAAACACACGCACACGCAGGCGGGGAAAATAATTAATTTGGTTGGCTGCGAATAATTACGTTGCTTAATTAGCTGGCCAACAGCTGGTGGGGCCTCACTGACCGTTCTTTTTCGCACTTCCGCTGACCGATTGCGCACTTTCTAACTGTTTGCACGGCGCTTTTCCTCTCATGATACGATTTTCCACAAGTACTGTGTGGCCGTTTGTCGTAAAAATACCATTAAGGCTTAAATGAAGAGAGAATCTGCAACCCGAATATCATATACCCTCTTTTTTATAACAAAAATGGATGATCCAATAAGTTTTTAAAATATTTCTTATTCAACTTTTGAAAAAGAATTATATAAAAATAATGAAACCAACAAAGTTTTTAAATGCTTAAATTATACTATACTATATATACTTCATTGAAAAGTTCATACAATATGTTAAGCCTTTTTTAAAAATATACAAGGTGTACTCAGATTCAACACCACCCCCATCTGTGTTAACTTTCTCTATGGCCGCTTCGATTTACATAACTCAGAATTATTGTGCAGAATTAATTTTTATTGATTAACGACAGAATTTATGCTAATAATATTTATTGTTTTATTAAATGCTTACGTAAATTTTTTAAATTTAAAATTCGGGGTGACCATTTTCCGTATACTTTTGGTATATTTGCATCAATAAAAATAAAGTATTTTTATACTGCTGTATAGTATTTTTCTAAGAGCCGGACGGTATTAATGTCGATAGATCTGCGGTCACACTTCAAATCGTTTCTGCTTGTCATTTCGCCCTGAGTTTTTTGCCGCAAATTGCAGGTAAATTCGCGAAATACAGGAGTCTCAGGAAGAGAACCCCCTTGAAAAACAGAGAAGCCTGGCACATAGCAAGCGGTGCAGACGTCACAGTAAAATCCGAACCGAAAACCCCTAGAAAGCACAAACATGCCGTCGGCGGAGGTGAGCGTAAACAAAGTGATAGTGCATCCATTGGTGTTGCTGTCCGTGGTGGACCACTTCAATCGGATGGGAAAGATCGGCAACCAGAAGCGCGTGGTGGGCGTCCTTTTGGGCTGCTGGCGCTCCAAGGGAGTCCTCGATGTGTCCAACAGCTTTGCGGGTTAGTATTGCACCTTAAACATCTAAAAACATGCCCTATAAACCAGGTGGTGCTCCCCTTTTAAACAGTTCCCTTCGACGAGGACGACAAGGACAAGTCGGTGTGGTTCCTGGACCACGACTACCTGGAGAACATGTACGGCATGTTCAAGAAGGTGAACGCCAGGGAACGTGTTGTGGGCTGGTATCACACAGGGCCCAAGCTCCACCAAAACGACATCGCCATCAACGAGCTGGTCCGCCGTTACTGTCCCAACTCCGTGCTGGTCATCATCGATGCCAAGCCCAAGGATCTGGGTCTGCCCACGGAGGCGTACATATCCGTGGAGGAGGTCCACGACGATGGTTCCCCGACCAGCAAAACTTTCGAGCATGTGCCCAGCGAGATTGGCGCTGAGGAGGCGGAAGAGGTAGGCGTGGAGCATCTGTTGCGCGACATCAAGGACACCACCGTGGGCAGCCTCTCGCAGAAGATCACCAACCAGCTAATGGGTCTGAAGGGACTGAATGCCCAACTGCGCGACATCAAGCAGTATCTGCAGCGCGTCGGCGACAGCAAGATGCCCATCAACCACCAGATTGTCTACCAGCTGCAAGACATCTTCAACCTGCTGCCCGACATCACCAACGACCAGTTCACGGGCACCATGTACGTGAAGACCAACGACCAGATGCTGGTCGTCTACCTGGCTTCCATGGTGCGCTCGATCATTGCCCTGCACAACCTGATCAACAACAAGCTGGCGAACCGCGATGCCGAGGAGGGCAAGAGCGACAGCAAGGAGGCCAAGGAGAAGAACAAGGAGAGCAAGGACAAGGACAACAAGGAGACCAAGGACAAGGACGGCAAGAAGACGGAAGAGAAGGCCGACAAGGGCAAGGACGAAGGCGGCAAGGGTTCGCGCAAATAGGAACGAAAGAAGAAGCGCAAGCCCCGTCGCAAGCGAAAGAAGCAGGGGCCGCAGGATTAGCCGCTGCTTCTTGTGGCGTCCAGCAACTGGAACAACATCTCCAAATTACCCAGCGAGGGTGTGCAGTGGCCTCAGAGAATCAAACATTGCTACCATTCATCGTTCATTGTCCCCATGAAATCAAGCTCCCCCTTTATTATTTCGCCAGCTACGCGTAACTAACTAACGGCAAGTTTATGTAATTAAAAATTAAATAATTTAAATACTCTGATTGTTTGCTTGAGGGAATTTTTGTCCCTTTCCCTCAGATCACCAGCTCGTTGCCTTTTCCACTTCAATGAAACCAGCGCAGGTTTTTGTTTTCTTATTTCGTAAAACCGAAATTATATTTAAAAACAAATTAAGCGCGCCGGAAAAGCAATGTAAATGGCTGTTTTACGATTGCCTTTCCTACGCGCAGGAAAACTGTCGATTAATGCATTGTACAGGGCGCTCTCTATCCTAGAGCAGTTATTACTTAGAAAGCATTTTACCAAATTTCACTTGACTTACAGCTGAGCTAGTTAACGCTTACGATCTAAGGCTAGGGTTCCATTACTAACACCATTGATGGCTGGACAACTAGAATACTTAGGTTCACTATGTGCTTGCAAAGCAATCAAACTAGATTAAACGTTGAGTTCCTCGTTCCTCCCTTTTCGCTAATTATATATTGTGCACGGGGAGTGCTGCAAAATGGCTGCTTTGCAGGACTCCCTTGTGGTGCGGTGGATTAGAGGCTTTCCTTAGACCAGCCACTCGCTGGCCAGCGGGAACTTGAGCGGCTGGCAGCTGCTGAGTCTAAGCGAGCAGTTATTGTCCTCGGCAGCAAGTGGGATCCTGTTGTTCATCATGGGATTGCTCTGCACAGAGCAGAGGCTTAAACTATGGCTATTCGACTGTCTAAGACTAGTACTAATGATATCGCTGCTGATCCGATGCTGATGCTGATACTGATGCTGGTTGCGGCTCCTGCTCTGATCCTCCGGCGGGCAGGCGTGGTTACAGGTGTTGAGATTGTTTGAGTGGAAGGCTGCAAGGCAGCTCCTCCCTTCGGCGACCCCTGAGGTTGTTGGTGACAAGCTGTTGCTGTTGCTGCTGCAGTTGAGGTTGTAGATCTTGATGCTCATGCTGCTGGTGCGGATGTTGAGGTGGACCTGGGCGTGATCATGTCACACCGAGGTGCCCTGCTGGCCGGGCACCACCGATCCGCAGCTTTCCTCCGGCTGGAAGGACTCCTGCAGTCTCTGCCGGCATCCTCCCTTCGAGGCGAAGAAGAACTTGTAGATGATGTACAAGGGGATGCACAGCACCGAGGAGCAGGTGACCGCCCAGCCCACCTGGTAGCTCCAGTCCGGGTAGTAGTACTCTTCGCCGAGCATCTCCTTGTAGCCCATGATGGAGAATATGAAGATGGTCTGCAGGGATATCGTTATTATTAACTGAATTTAAACAGTTCTACTTTTCTTTACCAGCAGGAATACTGGACTAATGTAGGTCCAGCAGATCCGCCAGAACAGACCCGGCTTGCTGCCCAGCATCTGTTCCACATCCGAGCTGAAGCGATCTACTCCGTAGAACCAAAACACTCCGGCTGCCTCAACGAAGACCACAAAAAGAATGGCCAATCCGGGTCCGTAGACATTCAGGAAATTGACCAGCACCACTCCACCCTAAAATAAATGTGATTTTTAAAACCAGATAATATTTCCCCATGTTTAAAAACACCATTTACTATCATCTATTGTCATGGTTTAATATTGTTTCTTATCTTTTCCTATATATTTTTGAAGAAGATCCTTGATATGAACCGACAAACCCTATCATAACTTTCGGTCACCCCTAAAATGTACCTCCCTTTAACTGGCACTGATTAATGGCTGTGGGCTGGGCTATTGAATAGCTTGATCCCTTGACCGATACTGGTCACTCCAAGTGGCCAAGTGACTAGGACAGGCAGGAATAAAGAAGGCAGCAAATTACAATTTCAAATGTAATCAGATAAAGTGGCGGGAGGAAGAACTTGACTGTGGCTGTGTCTGTGGATGTTGCTGCAGGAGTTGGTGGTTGTTTGACCAGGTTGAAGGCAAACAAGCCCACTGCTCTTGACAGGTGATAAAAATGCAGGAGAGGAAGGGGGTGAGTGTGTGGAGATTAACTGGCGGACGATAAAAAGCACTTAACACGGCAATCCATCGACTCCTAGCTGGCATATTTAAACAAGAACAAGGGTTGCTATCAGCCAGATGGAGCGTTAAATGGGCCAGTTGCATATGCATTAGGCGTGCTTAGGAGTTAATTAACCGAATCACAGCTCTTGGAGTACTCACGTAGGTCATCGTGGGCAGGGCGCACAGGAAGATGAAGGCCAGGAGCAGCAGGACGAACAGCTCCCGTCGCCGGCCAATCACTCGCGGATATTCGTCGCACAGCGCCGTAATCATCGCCTCCAATCCGCCAAAGGTACTGTCCAGTCCCAGGGTGATCAGCATCAGGAAGAAGATAATGCTCCAGAACACCGAACCACTCATTGTGGCAATGGCCTCTGGATAGACGATGAATACCAGCCCGGGACCCTCCAAGCCCACTTTGTCGATGGAGGTCTTTTGCACGTAGGCCATGTACCTATAAACGGATAAATCAGATCACAAAAATATTTAATCTCAAGTTATAAAGTTGATTGATGAAGCTTCATAGCTCTTTCTCAATCTATCATAAGAAATGTTATTCCAAAGAGGCAATTGTTATTAATATTACTTGATATTCTAACAGTTTATTAAAGTAATTTTGCAAAAAGAAAGCTAAAATCCAACTACTTTATTGTTTAATACTACTTTACTTTAACGTTAATTTATTTTTTTTTAAATATTACAAAAATTTTATTAAGAATATGACGATTTATATAAAAATGTGTAATTCAGATAAATTCATGGAGATGTAATGCCCGGATATATTTCTTACAAATTCTTTTTTAAATAACTATAAGAACTTTAGGTAATTACGAAACGTTGAATTTCTAGAATAGAACATTATTTTAGAATGCCTAAAACTATGACTTTTTGAGTAACTCCAGTAGCAATTTCAAACTCACCCCAAAACGGAGAAGATGACGAAGCCGGCCAAAAAACTGGTCAGGCAGTTGATGCTGCTCGTGATGAGGGCATCCCGATAGCAATTGTTGTTAAATTTGTTGTAGCTGGAGAGGGCTAGCAGGGTTCCGAATCCCGGGCCCAAAGAGAAGAATATCTGCGATGCGGCGTCGATCCAAACTTTGGAGTTCTTGAGCTTGTGCCACTCGGGGGTTAGGTAATACTTGATGCCCTCGTCGGCGCCGGGTAGGGATACACCCCTGACCAAGAGAATGATCAGCACCACATAGGGAGCCAGGGCTGTGACCCATACCACCTTTCCGGCACTCCGCACTCCCTTCCAAAGTGAGAAATACACCAGTACAAAGACCCCGAAGACACAAAGTGCCAGAGTTGGCTTCACCGGACCCATGAAATCCAGCCCATTGCCCTTGTAGCTCTCGAGCACTCTTCTCCTGCAAATCAGTCGGTTGAGGATATGATCTTTTCAGATATATATTTACGTGGTACCCACTCGAAGAACTCCTTGGCTGGTGAGGTGGAAAATTCACTAAAGTTCTGACTGGTCACCTGCATGCAGTTCTCTGTGTTCCAAGGATTGTCGCAGGACGTCCATGGCAACTTGGATGTGAACGAGGCGAAGAGATAGTACACCGCCCATCCAATAATAGTGTTATAGTACATTCCCATGTATATGTCGATCAGGCAGATCGCATAGCCAACACCTGGAAGTTCGAGGGGTTTTGTGGTAGAGTCGTTTAGAAATAAATTCTTAAGTACCCCAAATAATATTTAAAAAAAAATTAATAGGAATATTTTTTGTTGCTTTAATTTTTATGATATATTTAGATTATGTATAATGCTGCATTTCTAAAATACTTAGATCAAAAGTTACACAAAATACCTTAAGCAATCCTTACGTCCCCATTAATATTCTTAATTGCTAACGATACAAAGCTGCAAACATGAAAATCAACAGGTAGCTCTTAAAAAGTCAGCTTAACTGGTTCTGGGAATTCCAATATCTCTGATTGAAAACGGCCAAAGGAGAATAGACAGAGAAATTGGAATATTCCCGCGTGACAATTCGCAGGTTTCATCTTTTGTGCAATCCACCCTCTGATTTTCCGCCCGCTTACTTATGAGGCCAATAAGACACGTCACGTGATTTTGCCTCCACTAAGTTTTCCACTCGCCCTGCTTTCCGGCTTTTCTTTTCATTTCGAGTCGCTTGGCAAAAGGTTTGCCAAAGCAAACACTTGTTGAGCAAATGATGACTGCCACAAAGTGGTGTTTGCTCTTGGACTTTTTACGAGGCGGAAAATGGGGGAGTCGGTAAAACCCCATGGAGTGGGATTTGGCCTAGACCAAGTGACTTGGCAAAAGTTTGAGTAAATCCAGTGGAGGAGCTACAGCAGCAGCCCATGCATTTTGTTTGTCACTTAATGGAATTATCAACTCGATATGCAAAACTTTGAATGGGACTTCCCCTCCAGTAGCTGTCTTTTCATCGCTGGTGTAAATCAATTTGAGAACAATTTAATTAGGGCCTTTGGCCCGGTTGGAGGTCCTGCTGATTTGGGCCTTGTGCGTTCCGCTTGAATGAGTCGTTAATTGTTGCAACAAATCTGGTGACTCTTATCCGTTTCGCTGCTTGATAATGTCGCCGGCACACACACAATGGCTTCCCTTTTTTGAACATCCCCCCTCTGGAAAAGGAAACTTTGGTCCTTTGTGCGGTTCTGTGGCCAACAAGTGCGGGTGTCCTCGGAATCTGGCTGAGACAATAATGCTCGGCCGAGCGTAAAATATCAGACATCAACAACACACGAGCTTATGTTCTATATGAATTTCGCAGAGACACGCTGCGTATACTTAACTTCTCATTACAAACTGGCAGAGCCTCAGGTTGAATCCCTGCGCAAATATTGAACGCTTTTATAGATTTCAATATGCAATCACGTTTTTTGTGTTCTGCTACTAAAACTCAATATTTGTAATTCATTTAAATTGCCATTAAATCTTGTATAATATATACTCAAGCCTTGGGCCCATTCATATACATTTGTATGTTATTTTTTTATGGCTTACATGGCTTTTTTAATGCCATTGCTAGAGGGCAGTTATTATAGATGGGGACTTCTTTTTTATACACACCTTTTAGGGCCGGACAGATGCGCTTCCAAATGCTGAGGCAGCCGCACCGATGAAACTGACCCAAAGCAAGTTCCATGTAAAACAGGGGTAGACCGCCGAAGATGAGGAACAGGCAGTAGGGAACCAGGAAGGCACCTCCTCCATTCTGGTAGCAAATGTACGGAAATCTCCAAACGTTCCCCAAATCAACTGCAAAGCCAATCACGGCCAACAGGAACTCGGCCTTCTGTCCCCAGGTCTCCCGAGTTCTTTCCGTCACGGACACAACCAAAATGCGCTAAAAAATTGGTTAAAAAATATATCGCAGTCGGAGATTAAACTAGGCCTCTAAAAATGAACTAAAAGAATTTTACTTAAGGTTAATATCAGTTTTGGGCGGTTTGTGGGGGTGGCTATATGCTGAATCAAACTTGCGCTGCGCAGAAATCCCTAGAATCTGCATGCCTTATGCCAATATTGTAGCTTTTTATAGTTTCCAAGATCACAACGTTCATACAGACAAACGGACTTGGCTATATCGATTCGGCTATTGATCCTTATCAAGACTATATATACTTCACGGGATCGGAAACGCTTCCTTCTACCTGTTACATACTTTTGACGAACCTACTCTAAAATGAACAGGTATGAATAGGGTTTAAATATTAAACTTCATGGACGCCATAAAAAATAAATTGGCACTGATATAATGTTATTCCAAATATAAATAAACTTATAAATTCTAAAACAAAAAGATAGATGCTCGAAATATATCTGAATTTATCCCTTTTAAAGATATATCTTTTCCCGTTCTTATAGTCCCACTTAAACAGATATTAAAATAAAGTATGTTTTAAAAACAGGTGCAAGCTCTTAAAATTGTCATAGATGAATTGGATTTCCAAAACATCGTTGTTGCTGTTTGTTCAGCATTTTTATTTGAATACTTAAGAGGCTTTGAAATATGAATCGGTTTAAATTACTGTATTACTCATTTATTTATTTATTTATTATCTAAAACAAGGAAGAACGCTATAGTCGAGTACCTCGACTATCAGATACCCGTTACTCAAAGGGAAATGGAGATATGCAAGCAGCAAAGCGAAATTAAAATGCGCCACCTACCGGCGCCGGATTTAAGCGTTATGGGCGTTAGAGTGGGCGAGTCAAATTTATTTTTGGATCAATCGATAGGTATTGACGACACCAATACATTTCAGTTAAAATTTTTTATCTAGCATGCGAATTGTGGGCGTCACTGGTTTTCGCGGTTTGTGGGCGTTTAAGTGGGCGTGGCAAACTTTTAGGTCAATCGATAGGTATTGATGAGAACAATACATTTCAGTTAAAATTTTCTGTCTAGCATCAAAACTGTAGAAGTTACAGTTTTGGGCGGTTTGTGGGCGTTAGAGTGGGCGTGGCAGTCTACTGAAACAAACTTGCGCTGCGTAAGAAGCTCAGCAATCTGTACGCCAAATTTTAATAGCATAGCTCTCATAGTTTCCGAGATCTCAGCGTTCATCCGGACAGACAGACGGACAGACGGACATGGCTAGATCGACTCGGCTAGTGATCCTGATCAAGAATATATATACTTTATGGGGTCGGAAACGCTTCATTCTGCCTGTTACATACTTTCCGACGAATCTAGTATACCCTTTTACTCTACGAGTAACGGGTATAATGATAAATTTCCGGTCCGGAAAACTCACCTCATTGTTGGCCAACTTCGGGGCCAGCGGATCGGTGACTTTGGCGGGCGTTGTGTGGTCGCCGTCGTCCTCGTTGGAGTCGTCCTCGTTGTTCGGCGACTCCTTGTCGTCGCTCCAGGGAGCGGGATTCGAGCGGCCCGTCGTGGCAGCTGCTCCTCCGAAATCGGAGCTGCCGCTGCGGTCCATCTTGCGGTCGAGTGGGCGTTTTAGGGGCGGGGGCGTGGTGCCTGGAGGCGTGGCAGTGTACGCCGATCGCGGCACGAGCTTAGCCAGTCGAAATCTGGATCTGAACTCAGTCCGGGGCCAGAAAAAGCGAAATCTGCGCCTCTATTTGCGGCTTTCCACAGCCTTTTTACCACCTGCAGTCCCTTGCTTTTCCGCAGTCCGCTTTTCCAGCCCGTTTAGCGCTGTGGTCGTGAAAATTGCATTTTTCCCACGGTTTTTCACATGCTGGCCTCGCTGAATCGACTGGCAAATTACTGGAACAGAAGTTAAACAATCGCATTAAATGGGGCACTTAACCATTATTCACGCCCAGGGGAGGCATTAAAATTAACAGATTTGTTGGCATGCAAAATAATAAAATGCCGCTGACCACAGGTCTACGGAATTTTGAATCCCTTTAACTGCAGTAATGGCCACGAAAATCGTTTTAATGTCAATGTCGTGAAATATAGTAGTTTTTGGACCTAAATTTAAAGGTTTGTCCTTGAGTTACCCTGTCCATTAAATTTTAAATTGCACAACGTGGCGTATGCTTAACGAATCTCACTTAGCTAAATGAATTCCCAATGAAAACAAGAGCAACCTTCATTTTATTCAGGGGCATCAAACCCCTTTCTTTGTACGACTTTTTAATTACCATTTAATTGTGGCCCACACGCGAAGTCAAACAGCAGATAAAGATATAGAATGTTGGGCACATGTGCCGACGGAATTCCCAAATGATAAGACAATGGCAAAGTATACATTCCCGGAAAGCAAAATTCAAAACAATCAAAAGACACTTAGAGGTGTGAAAACAATGGAAGTTTGTTCTTCAGATGCCTCACAATTAACAAAGGCAAATATTTTGAAAAGTTCAATTCAAATTTCACTTTTTCCACATAGTATTAAAAATAATTAAATTGATTTGAGTTCAAAATATTTCTCCACCATTATTAAACTTCAAGCTTCATTATTTTTTAATTTAAAACTAAAAACTAAGGAATTTTATACATTGTTGTTTGTGGGGAAGGCAACAAATATGCCACCCTTATATTTATAATTAATAACGCACGAATAGGTTATATTAAAAATGTATAGCTTTTATTCGGAGCGGCAGACGGACTGTGAATGTGTCAAAAGCTTGGCTCCAAGATCTTCATATAGACATATGCAGGCTTACAAAGTAGTTGCTGAATAGATAAGCGACAGCTTTATGGGTATAAGAAAGAAGGCGAAAGATAAGCAGAGAGCGATGCAGGTGCCGTCGTACACCTATGCGCGCATGACTAGCCGCTGGCGATCTGCTCCGAACATACTCCCCCCGTTGGAAGAGGTAAGGTTCCAACTATCTCGGAATCGATGGGCAGAACGGCTAGCTTGGCGACGGCTCTCTTGATCAGACCCGTAGCTGTACGGACCATAGCTACTCTGATGACTCCGTCCCCGCCGGGTATGACTTCTTGGATGCACCCAAGCTGCCATCTCAAGGGTGGAACGTTGTCCTCCTTAAGCAAAACTATGCGTCCAACCTTGATGTTAGACGTTTCGACGCGCCACTTGCTCCTCTCTTGAAGTAGGGACAAATACTCGCTGCTCCACCTTTTCCAGAAATGTTGCTGCATCTGGGTAACCCGCTGCCATCTGCTGAGGCGGTCTTCGCGGAGATGAGTAATGCCAGGCTCAGGAAACTTAGTGTAGCTGGAACCCTTCAGGAGATGCGCCGGTGTTAGCACCTCAAGGCTTTCAGCATTTTCTGAAATTGGACAGAGTGGACGGGAGTTAAGGATGGCAGAAATCTCATATGCAAGAGTTCTTAATTCATCGATGGCTAAGATGGATGCACCGACGACTCTGTAGAAGTGAAATTTAGCTGACTTCACAGCGGCCTCCCATAAACCACCGAAGTGCGGGGCACGCGGAGGGATGAACTTCCAATCGATCCCATCAGCTAAACAGACGGAAGATATCGATGCTGTGTGCTGCTCGCTCAAAAAGAGCTCTTTCAGCTCGGCAAGCTCTCTCTTTGCACCGACAAAGTTTGTAGCATTGTCGCTCCAAATGGTACGCGGACTGCCTCTAAGGCTGATGAATCTCCTCAGCGCTGCGATGAAAGAATCCGTCGTGAGATCCTGGACCACTTCCAAATGAGCAGCCTTCGTAGAAAAACAGACAAAGACGGCGATATAGCACTTGTGGGGTGCCTTATTTCTGGCCTCTGCTTTATGATAGAATGGCCCACAATAGTCCACTCCTGTGGTATGAAAAGCTGGATTAGGCTGCACTCTATTTGCTGGAAGGCTACCCATGACGTGCTCCCAAGTAACAGGCTTCATTCGGAAACATCGGACGCATTTGTTGATAACGCTGGCGACGAACTTGCGGCCTCCAATCGGCCAGTACCTTTGCCGTAATGCGGCAAGCAGCGCCTGCGATCCTCCATGCAAATATTTCTCATGATAATAAACGATGATCGCCTTGGTGACTGGATGATCCTTGGGCAACAGTATCGGATGCCTCGTGTCGTAGTCCAAGTTTGCGTTCTGAAGCCTTCCACCCACGCGAAGTAACCCATCGGAGCCGAGTATAGGTCTAAGCGAAACCAGCTTGCTTTTCTGTGGAAACGGCTTGCCCTGGCTAAGAGCTCCATACTCCTTCGCCAAGTTAACCTGTTGGATGCTCCTCAGAAGAAGTACAGTTCCAGAGTTGATCTCCTCCACCGAAAGTCGACCTTTTAACGGCGCAGATTTGGCTCTGCAATTTGAAATGAATCGATAAATGTATGCAAATACGCGCTGCAACTTATCGAAAGAGTTGAGGAATTTGCAGTTTGATGAACTGTCTATGCAAACGGCCCCAATTAGAGCCACAGAACGGCGCTCTGGAAGATCCTTCACTGAGTCTAGCAGGGACGGCCAATTTGACGAGCTTTGCAGAAGGAATGGAGGCCCGTTAGCCCAAAGGGAATGTTCCAACAATTCTCTTGGGGTACATCCTCGCGATACGACGTCTGCCGGGTTCAAGTTTGTAGGAACGTGATGCCAAGACATGTCTTTCGTCATCTCCTGAATTTTCGCGATTCTGTTTGATACGAAAACGTTAAACTCCCTCGGAGGTTGCCGAATCCACGCCAACACAATGGACGAGTCCGACCAGCAATGAAAGGTGCAATCGAAATCTATGGCTTCCTTGGCGTTTACGATTAGCTCAGCCAATAAAAGCGCTGCGGAAAGTTCTAATCTTGGAATTGTTAAGGCCTTCAATGGAGCTACCCTTGACTTGGCACAGAGCAGATGGACTTTCGATTCTCCATTGGTCTCCGATCGCAAGTATAGACACGCTCCATAAGCTGACATGCTAGCATCGCAGAATCCATGCAACTCAACGGAAGCCCTTGGTTGCAGTACGAATCGTGGGAATTTTAAGTTCTGTACGACCGATAACTGTGAGGTCAACTCCCCCCATGACGAAAGAATGGGCTCTGGCAGTGCATCATCCCAATCCACGTTCGCACTCCATAGAGATTGCAGAAAAATCTTAGATTTTGTGATAATAGGAGTTATTAAACCGAGTGGATCATAGAATTTGGCAATCGTCGACAATGCAACCCGCTTAGTGGGTCGTTGATTGATTGGCAGTTGAGAAAAATGAAATAGGAGCTGATCAGAAGATGGATCCCAGACTAGTCCCAATGCCTTGGCGACATCCGATCCATCGTGAAATTTGATTAACTGCTCCTTGTCGCATTCAGACTCTCCCTTCAGGGCTGCTGACTCATTCGAACACCATTTGCGAATTGGAAAGTGGCCTCGCGACAGTAATTCCTTCACCTGACGACGAATTTCTCTCACCTCCTCAACTGAGTCCCCACCAGATATTAAATCATCCACATAGAAATCTCTACGAACAATTTTTGCTCCAATAGGAAATGATTCCTCCTCATCGTAAGAGAGTTGATGCATGGCCCTTATAGCCAAGAAGGCAGCTGGCTTGGTTCCGTAAGTCACCGTGTTCAATTTAAAAACACTTAATTCTTTCCTGGAGCTCTCTCTCCAAACGATGCACTGCAAGAAATCATCCGGGTACGAAACACGCACGCAACGGTACATCTTGCAGATATCTCCACAAAGGGCAACTTTAAAAAATCGAAAGCGAAGCAGTATATTGAAGATTTTTTGTTGAATTGTTGGTCCTGCCAGAAGTAAGTCGTTCAGAGAGCTACCAGAAGTTGTTTTAGCAGATCCATCAAAAACGACACGAAGCTTCGTACTCGTGCTTTCCTGCTTATGTACGCAATGATGGGGCAAAAAGAATTGTGTTTCTGGCGGTTCCTTAGTTACAAGAGACATGTGACCTAGGTCGATATACTCCCTCAAAAATGCTGAATACTGAGCTTTCAGGGCTGGGTTTCTATCTAATTTAGCTTCCAAACTCTTGAAACGACGACGAGCCAAGCAATAAGAATCACCTAAAGATTCGAATCCGGAAGTGGTCAAGAGACGAACAGAGTATTGGCCGTTTCCAAGTCGAATGCAATTTTCAGTAAAAAGTTGCTCACATCGCAAGTCTTCCGGCAATAAAGATGGCTTAGACGAAGTGAAGTCCTCAATTTCCCAAAATCGCTTTACAATGGCGGAAAGTGTGTCATCGGAATAATCAGCTGGGTCCTTGATGCTGGCTTGTAAAACCGACTTATGAGTTGGCATGTTCGATGATAACCCTCCAGAGACTATCCAACCAAGCTTGGTGTTCTGAAGAGTTGGCAAAGCCCTATCCAAATGAATTTGTCCCATAGAAATTATTTCGAAAAACAACCCAGCGCCGAGTAAAAGGTCAATTCGTTGTGATTGATTGAAATTAGGGTCAGCGAGTGAAATATTTTGCGGTATCCTCCACGATGTTGCATTTATATTGAAATGGGGTTGATAATCAGTAATACTGTGAGTCACAACCGCTGTGAATGCCGCTCGATAGCTTGCATCCCGTGATTGCACAAGAATATCGACAGTCTTATCAGAGATCATGGAAGATTCTCCTATCCCAGAAATCGACGTTTGCGATCTTCTGTGATTCAAGTTTAGTTGGCTGGCTAAGCGAGAGGTTATGAAGTTTAGCTGGGAGGCCGAATCTAAAATTGCTCGGCAAGGCATAAATGCTCCAATTCTATTTCTGACGTAGATAATAGCAGTTGGAAGCAACACGTAGTCGATCGGCAAAATATTTAAGGCTTTGGGTGGAGGGCTTGGTAAATGATGATCAGGATGCGATGATGTATGCGAACATGATACTAATGCTGATGAAGTAGATGGTAATGGCTGAGAGCTCGAGGATGGATCGCATGATGGAGATGAAAATGAGGTTGATGTTGCGGATGGGTCATGGTTCATGTGTAATAATGAATGATGCTTCATGCGACAATACTTGCAGTGAGTCGACTTGCATTGCTGCAAACTATGCCCCTTGCGCAAACAGTTGAGGCAAAGGTGCAACTTCTTTGCTTCTCTATATCGAAGATTCGGACTCAAATTTAAAAATCGAGGACACTTTGGCAAATAATGATCCCGTGCATCGCAAAATAAGCATGTCAAATGATTTGAGTTAGTAGCAGATGCAATAAGTGTATTTTGGTTATATTTGTGCAAGTTTTTTCCCACCTGCTGGCCTGGTGTTTGAGTTACCAAGGCTTGATCCAAGTTTTCCATCATCCTGCACCTCTTTTCCAAAAACGACTCCATAGCATCCCAGGTAGACAGCTCAGTGATGGACGAATCCTCTTCCCATTTTTCCCGCGTCCTCTGATCCAGTTTCCGAGTGACGATGTGAATTAAAAGTCCATCCAAAATTTGTTGCGTATTGGCCAGGGTTCGAATTGCTCGCAGATGCGAATTCATGCAATCGCTCAGCTCCCGAAGACCCTTCGAAGATCCCTTCTCGACACCCTTTAAACCGAATATTGCCTGAACATGTGCCTGAAAGTGTAAAACTTTATTATCAAATCGATTAACCAGCAAATTCATAGCCTTTTTAAAATTAGCATTCGAGGGTTCGAGCGATCGTATGGTTTCCAGAGCCACGCCGCCCAAACTCGAACGCAAATATTGTAATTTTTCAATGTCGCTTAGCTCATCATCATTTCCGATGACCGTAGTGAAAGTCGCAAGAAAATCCGGCCACTCAGAGTAGGATCCATGAAAACGAACAATTTCCAAATTTGGCAACCGAGGCTTTCTAGATCGAAAAGAAAGATCCGCATTATTAGTGATGTCAATAGATGTTGAATTTGCAGCGGTTGAAGCCGGCAATTGTGACTTGCGATGAGCCGCCAAGCCTCGGCTTAGTTTCGCCTTCACATCCATGAAGACTTCAGCAAATTCAATCCGATGGTCGCTCGAGATCTCTGCAAAGTCCAGTCTTTCCAACGATGTCTGCGCAGAATCAAATGCCTGGTTTAAGGAATTGATCCATTCCATTCGCGCCAGCAAATCAGATTCGTCAAACTGATTAACCGCATCAGCGTTTAAATAGCACTTCATCGAGCTCATTTGCCGCAAAATAGATTGGGCTTTGACTCGGTAGTAGTCGACGTCACTTGTGGATTCATTTTGAGCCCGAACCGAGTTTTCCGTATCAGACATTTTTCAATCACGAAAAAGAAAAAAAATGAAATGAAAATGAAGTAAAGTAAAATGTCCGACCGCGTTAGAGGCACAAAACACCGTATACCCTTTACCGCGAAAACGTGAAGGTTAACAAGCGTCGCCGAGATGCAACGGAACCTTTAACTTTGTTGTTGTTGTTCTTGCCGATAAATTGCCTGCCTAGCAACAGCGGATTATGTAACTGGCAAACGAATGTATGTATGGCTATATGTACATGTATATATGTAATATGCGCTATTAACAAAGATTAAATGCGATTCACTTTGTTAAGAATTATTTGCACAACACAAATTTGGTGCTTTTTCACAGCGCAAAATGTACAAAAAATCAAACGGCCGGCTGTGCACTTTTATATGCACATATGTATGTATGTTTGTCTGTTTGTGACCGAATGCACGATAAAGACAGCGAAACAAAGCGTTTGTTTAAACTATATTAAACAATCGCGAAACCGAGTTGCAGACTCCGATTAAAACTGCTATCACGTCGGGGTCACCAAATGTTTGTGGGGAAGACAACAAATATGCCACCCTTATATTTATAATTAATAACGCACGAATAGGTTATATTAAAATGTATAGCGTTTATTCGGAGCGGCAGACGGACTGTGAATGTGTCAAAAGCTTGGCTCCAAGATCTTCATATAGACATATGCAGGCTTACAAAGTAGTTGCTGAATAGATAAGCGACAGCTTTATGGGTATAAGAAAGAAGGCGAAAGATAAGCAGAGAGCGATGCAGGTGCCGTCGTACACCTATGCGCGCATGACTAGCCGCTGGCGATCTGCTCCGAACAATTGTGTTTAAATTAATATCTAAATTCTAAATTTTAGAAAAAAAAAGAAAAGAAATTTAGAAAAGAAAATTTAGAATATAGAATTAATTAAGCTTTTAAAATTAAAAGAACATTTTATTGCATCAAGCAACAAATTAATAAAAAATGTAACTTTTTAAAAACTTTACAGAAGTCTTTTAATTAAATTTAAAATTTGTTTTTTATTTTATTATTAAAATGTCTTTTAACACAAGGTTAAGCATAAATATAATTTTAAGAAAGGGCTGTACTAAATTGAATTACGGTCTGCAGAATTGTCCTAAAGCCAAGTAAAATCCAATAAAATTCAAATATTAAGGGGTAAATAAAATGAGTGTAAAATAATATTAAGGCAAATGCATAAAGAATATATCAAAACACTTTTAGGACTGTAAATTATTTAGTGGACTTACTTTTTGAATTAAACTTGAAAAAAATGTACTTCCTCAGTTGCCACACATACTTTCTAATAAACACTTTAAATAATTTCCACGGCACAACACAAATTTTAAATTTTTCTGGCTTCCATGCGTCCGATTTGAGAGACGCGCGCCGCTCCTTTGGGCCAACTGATGAATCCTGCGGCCGGATTCGTCCTTTTATACGCTGGATGCGCAGGCGGGCGTCAATTTGTCGTCGGCAGGATGTCGAGCCGAAGGATACTTCGGCAGAGTATCCTCCTTGGGGTCGGCGGTCGGAGGCATCCGACAGGTGGCAAAGTGTAACTTAAATTGCAGCAAACTGTTGCTTATCGAAGAAGAAGTTGGTTGATTGAACGCCCTCCCCGCCGCCTGCCTCCCCAAAAGTGGGCGTGGCCCATTAAGAGTGCCTAGTTTGCCTTGTTAAATGGTTGCCACATTACTATCCTGTCCAGCCGATTGACAAGACCAAAAGTTCCATTTCACTAATTTAGTTTCAAGTTGGAATGAATAATTGCGGAAATTGCATTATAGGTAGTAAAGCAAAGTCACAAATTGATAGCAAGATTCAAGTATTTAAGCAATTGCAACAGTTATTTTGCTTATCTGCAAAATATATGGCCAAGTTTCACTGAATTTACAAGTTGAAAATAAATACATTCAACTTTACTTATTTTCAAAATAGTGGTAATTATACTGTTTTTGACAGACTCCGTTGGTGTTGTTAGATCTATATTTTGTTAATACATTTTGTTATTTCATAATATTTAGCACATTAACTTTCCACATCACGATATAAGTTATATGTTATGATTAAAATGCTGTAATTTGTAAAGAAACTATGAAGATTCCACAGAAAACAGTCACAAAAAAACAAAGAATATAGTTGAATTCAGTTAAAATCGGTTTGAATTGGAACTTTCTGACTTCTTCAGTGGAAGTAAGCTGTTTCCGAGTTGTTTACTCTTTGAAGTACGCCAGTTATATGATTTTTACAGGCCCGTGGTGCTTCCATTTGATCACACGATTTCGCTCACAATGATTAAGTGATTTTTTAGCGTTTAATTGAACTTTTTATTTATTTGTTTTGTAATTATTATTCCTGCGAGCGGAGACTGCGAACGCGCACACTCATCTCGGATCGTCAAGTGGGTAAATCAGTAAATAAGCGTAATTGCAAATCGCCATCGGCACTATAATTCGCGGATCGGGGGTTCCGAGGGGTATAATCTGGAGTCTAGCTAGCACACGTTTTCTGTGGTTGGGGTAGGCTATCTTTTAGTCGATGAAGAGCACAAAGCATACTGATCTTTCTGCTGTTTTAGACGCTCTGTCTGTCGACATGGATGTAGAGTATTATTCGTCAGCGGATCATCGCTGAATGTGCGTTCCTGAACTATTTTACCACAAAACTGGGCTTACATAACCGTAATTTGACATCAAATTTCCTAGCCTAGCCGCAAACTACGTCATCGGCTCCACAATTATTCTAATAAACGGAAGGCGCGAGATCTGAATGGATAATGTCATTGATCAGGTGGTGGAAGTGAGAATTAGAAGTGTATAATTATTTAGAATGGTTTTGTCATTAATGATATAATGGCAGTACATTTACTAAATGCTTAGATACTAAAAACAGAAATAATGACTTTCAGCCCGTATCGAAGTAATTGTTCTTTTGTAACATTTTTGTAATTGGAGTATACTAAAACAAGATACCTAAAACCAGAGTTACTAGCACCACCAAACTTGGTTAAATTTAAAAATAAATATTGAAAAACTTAAATTCCATATTAATATTATATATTATTATTATAATATATATGATATGATATGAATATGATATTCCGAAAGCAAGCAAATACAATCTAAAAATAGTAAAATAAACATTTTTGATAGTTATTTTAAAATAGTATTACCGTTACCTTTAAAGACCTTTAACTTTAAAAGATATTATGATGAATTGTTTTATTTCCACCGCAATCGCCGACTTTTTTGGTCGTTAGGGTATGCCCTCCCAACTAAATTAAAAATCTTTTATTTTTTGCTTGTTTAATCTACGTAGAATGAAGTATTCAAATTGTATACCTTCTCGGAAAAATGCTAGGCAATGCGCCTCGTAAGAACAAAGTCTTGGTTAAATAGAAAACTCACTTCTTCAACGGCAATTATCCATATATTTTTTTGCATAGATAAGAGCCATCCAAGGCTGGGAACTCAGGTTTTTTCGCTGAATACCCTTCCATTATTCCGCATTCCTGCTGCTTGAGTTGGTCTTAGACTCTGTGTTCTTCAGGGTTCAAATAGTGAGAACCTCCCTACTATTGAGATATTACGCAAAATAGGGCATAAACTACGGCCGAATTGTTCATGAACCAAAGCTTATAATAAGCTTATATATAAACTGACTTAAGGCTGGTGTGCGGCTTATAAACATGTATATTTCAACATTAGTTTACAATTTTGAGATTACTATTATTCCCACCGACCAAATCAATAAGATTTTCCCAAAATATAATAGTCCAGATCCACCCCTGCATAATAAATTAATTATTCTATTGAAAACTTAATTTACTGAGCCTAATAATATATCCAGATGTATGCCTCTATTAATTTGAAAACTCAAATCAAATAGTTCGAAATTGTAAATTGCTTCATATTATTTTCAAATTCGCAATAATTTCCAACCTTTACCGCCAAAGTGCTTCTCAAACTGTAGGTTTGTGTATCCGCTTTACCAGGAGGGTGTATTCGCTAACTGCAGTTCCAGCGATGGGCAAACTTCGATATCAGCGAATCGACATATGATGGTATATACTGGTCTTATTAATATTAATAACGCTCTGGTTTTCTAGTAAACTCATCCGCGTAATGAACGAGAAACAAACAAATACAAAGAGAATTTGAAATTAATTTTTAATGTAAAAAAGATGCAAATTAAATAAAAGAGCTGTTTTAATTTTAGCGCCTATACACAATTTCTTATTTTTAAATAAAGGAAGCAATATAATAATTCAAAAATATGTTGTATTAATACGAAAATCATCTTAAAATTTTTTTAATAAGGAATTATAGTTTGAAATTATAATTTAGATGATCGGTATTTAAGTGATATTGCTTGGAACTAAAATGGTATTTATTTTATGGCCTGGTGGTATTTTCTGTAGTTAACGGAGCGGTCACGCTGATTAGCAATAAACACAATTTGGTTAAATTAGTGTAACAAAAACAAAAACATAAAACAAATGCAGTGATTGGGATTCTAGCTGCACACAGTCGCGTCGGAACAGCAAGGATACACGCAGGACGTGTGGACGCGGCACAAGATGATGGGCAAATGCTGCATTGGGGCACTCTGGCCACTGGCCATTTTGGTGGCCTCAGCCACTGCCTACAAGAACGGTGAGTAGTCATAGTGGTGTCTCAATACTCCGCAGCGAAAGTTACTAACTGGGTGCTCCTCTTCCCCTGGCCAGTTCGCCTCCAGGACAACATGTGCTCGGACAAGCTTTTCTACACACTGGCCAAGCCCTTTCGGGGCGATCCCACGGTGCGGCTGGAGTTCGAGGACACCTCCGGAGCAATCGTGACCCAGATGTGGAATCTGACACTGCCTCAAGGCCATGCGGCCAACAAGATCAAGTACGACTGCCAGTTCCGGGTGCTGACCAGCGATCGACCCCCGCGCGGCATCTACACCATCATCACACGGCTCAAGTTCCGACGCGATCCCGTGTCCAAGGAGTGCATCGACTACATCCAGTTCAGTAGTGGCAACCGATCGCCCAGCGAGCGCATCTGCAATGATATCTCCATTGACGGCCCCGCTGGACGTTTGATCTTTGACCAGCGCGACCGCGAGGTCAACGTGCACATCTTCATTGATCGAACGCGCCACATACTGGGTGACCCGCTGGAGCTTCGCATGGTACTAACGGCCCACTCCGAGTGCCAGTTCAACGGGGACTTCCTCTGCGATCCCGGCGACCAGTACTCGTGCATCTCGCGCCACTTTGTGCGGGACAACATCACCAACTGCCTGTATCCGTGCCGGGACGAGGGCACCTGCTTCCACGACGCCATCGTGCCGGAGGAGATCGATACGGCCAATGTGGCCATCTCGGCGCTCACGTCGCTCATCTTCACCATGCTGGGCGTGGGCTTCTGTGTGTGGATCTGCTGGAAGTACTGGAACTGCATAACAGTGCAGCAGCGGGCGCATGAGGCCTCCGCAGCCCGCTTTAACCAGCGACGAGTTAGAGTGAGTACAGGTTGTCCTGACCAGTGCCTAGAACCACAACTGATTTCCGTTCCCATTTTTCAGTCGGATGTGCCCACCATTGAGCTGCCACCAACGGTGCAGTACGATGATAGCGTCCTGCATGAGCACGATTCCCAGCAGCAACAACAGCCGGCCACGCCCAAGGATCTACCGCCCAGCTACGAGTCCCTCTTTCCGGAAAGATAAAGATCCGCGGCTGATGTCGCTCCGCTTTGTGCCAGATCAGCAAGTACTTGGTACCGCACACTTGTTGTATTAGTCCTATTAGGTAATTGTATCTCTATCTGAACAGATCAGCATTCCATGTAAATATGTTAGGACTGATTTTATGTTTTGTGATCAGCGTTAGCGATCAAACATCACCCTTGTCGATGTGTTCACTTCGAACCAAATCCGAGAATACTCTCCTTGGAATTTTCCAGTTTTACTGATGTATATATTTAAGTTTTATGTTCTTCAACTCTCTGTATTATTTTAGTATTTGTAACTGTTGAATCCGCCTTTTGGCGACGCAAATTGTTTACTCACTGATGAAATCTCACTGGTATTATCGTACTCGATGAAATTATATCAATTATTTACCTAGGCAGCAATTATTTATAAGCAAAAGCAAAAGCCACACAGTACTAGTCTGTATTAGCTAGCGTAAATATTCCAAGGGCCAGCCAGGACCTCCTTGGCAGAGCATTCCACATAGTTGTACCTGTTTCTGTACTGCAAAGATATATGTTATGTATTTGTACGCATAGAATACCACGCGCTTGTAGATGTCCTTGTTGTGTGCTGGCCGAAAGTGTCAATTGTTCAATCCAGAGTATTATATGTAGGCACACACGCTCACAAGATTATGTACGAACTACAGTATTTACTCCAAAACATGTAACTGCAATGTAACTGAAAGATCGGAGTCGTGGTCAGTAGGTCTTAAGCCAATTAACTCATATGTATACACACGCAACTCACTCAAATACGTATATTAACTGATAAATAAACCAACTAAATCTCAGCAGAGCGTAGCGAAAGTGCGGACGGGAATCACCTCACCCTCGCCCTCCCAAGTTTTGGTGTTTGGGGTTTCATCACATGGTGACACACATCGTGAATCAGCACGTGCTTTATCCAATAACCAGTCGGACGGGCAACCCAATCATCTGCCCAGAAAACGACAGTTGGTCACGACTGGAGGAAAGGTGTCTCTGCCACTGCGTCATCCGTGGGCTAATCAGTTTCTGGCCTGCTTACGGCACAAACTTAGATTTTCCTTTGTTACCAACGCACTCATCGCGGGATCGTGGTGGTGGATGTGGCACGTGCTGGGGTCGACTGGTCGTTGACTCGCCACAATTGACCAAACTGGTTATTGCCATCGTGGCTGCGAGACAATTTGCCGGCCAATCTGTGCCCCCGTTCAATGTCGGCCCACAATTGTCCAATTGCCTTGGAGTCGCAGTACGCGAATCAATTAGCGAATGTGCAGCCCTCTTGGCAACCGGTAGCCGCTCCATGGATGTATCTCTATATATAACGCCCAGGTGCCAATTATAACACGCACACAAAAGAGCCACACGATCGATCGATCCATCGATCTATTCATCAAGTTCAGGGTCGAACTCAAATCTCTCTGCGGCTTATAGTTCGGCCTTAATTCGTGTCAAGCACCCTGATAAGGAGTTTGACCACCGAATCACCGAACCATCAATCATCCAGAGTCGAAGACCCCTTGGGGATCCTAGCAGTTTCTCTCTATCTTCTTCTGACGCTTCGAATGGTCGAATCTCGAAATTCGGACAGCGAATTATCACCTCAGAATGGGGCGTGTAGGTGTGAGTTCACGCCCAAAAATAAACTAATCAAAGTGACTTCTTTGATCCACTTTCGCAGCGGAGCGGCCTCCCCGAAAATGTATTTTTAAAACAAACGGTAACTAAGGGTCTTCAGATTAAGGTGCGGTTTGTACTTCGGCCGATATGTAAGACATACATAAAGTTAAAGACGGGACTGTTTTAAATTTAAGTGGGTATATATGAAATTAACACATGCAGAGAGAAAATATAACACCCCCAATATAAACTCGTTGTTGTTCTTATCACTTATCTGTTATCTGCGACCTATTGTCAATGCTTTATCATATTGATAATTTAAATGATATTTTGCATAAACTGCGCATCAAGAGTGAAGATTATTTTGGATCTGAGAAGATCAATATTTAGAATTTCCATTGATACATGTGGCAAACATCAATAAATCAAAGAATAACAATAAATATTTGATTTATCCTAACCTTTGAGTTCAGAAAGTTGCTCTTTTGAAAGCTATTTATAGAGTTATGAATATAGAAATGTATATTTTTTCTGCATTTCCGTTAATAACCGGAAATCTTCTGTACTGATGATAGTAAATATTTTGGGAAGTCTATGATTCATTGTAAAGTTGAGCTAATATTATGGTCTTCTGTGTGCGTTTGTAAAAAACCATCGTGGCCACAGGACCAGAACCGAACCCACTTCTAATCATTCAATGGTTTTGCGGTGGCGACGGTGGCACCTCCGCCTCCCGAGCAAATTGTTTGATGTTTTGGCCAACAATTAGATACGTTGCTCTAACCAATCTCACCAACCGCTGGAGTTACTTTCTCGCCCGCCGGAGAGCGCGTGACTCATACGCAGGGGGGGCCACACAAAGACGCTGGCAACTGGCAGAAACGAAACCACAACCACAGCCAGAAAGAGCCGCTCCGGCTAAAAGCTGTGGGCAAATCGAGCGACTCGCTCAGTCTGCGACACACAGTCGAAGCTGAAAGATCGATTCGATTCGGCGGACAGTCCGCATCCCAGTTAAAACTCGTCTCCGCATCCAATTGCCCGGTGCAATTCTCAGTTCTCATTTCTCGGTGAAGTGAACGATTTATGGAAATTTATTTATTGCAATTCAAGCCGACAAGTGTGTGAATCAAAAAACAAACAACCAGTCCCAGTTACCTGAACATCAACGCCATGGAATACAGCCGGATCCAGACAATGCTGCTAATTATGATAGGTGAGTCGAGTTTGTGAGACAGGCCTTCTCGGGCTATATGCACAGATATTGTATCTATATATGCAGAGTGTAGATATATAAAGGCGGCAATAAACAAGTCTCGAACAAGCATATGCTAATTATGTGAACGTGAACCTCCGCAAACCCTAGGTGATTGGAAGTAATTATACTGTGAATAAACATACCGGGTAACTCATTGAGCAGGGAATGTTTGAATGGGTCTATGGAACCGCATTTATATGGAGGCAAAGTGTGGCAAATTATCTCATAGAACTGGTCGTTACCAAAACAAACTTTTAACGAAACAGGAAATATAAGTGATTATTAAAACCTCATAAAGATCATTAGATGTTCTACTATGATTTATCGGTTCCCCGCTAAATTCACAAAGAAGGCTTAGTGCAAAATTAGTAACTCGTTTTGTTATAGAGGTAAAACTGATAGGAAATATATATTCTAATTTTGAGAGCTCTGAAAAATTATGTTTTATCCTTTATATCATTAAACTTTGGCACCCGAAAATCCCCCACTAGTCTTATCAGTGCAAGTACCAATAACCATAATAACTTAAGGCGTCTGTTTGAGAAAGTTCTGGCGTCAAGACCATATCATCTTGGGCCTTCATCCAGACACCGTAAACAAGTTAACGATGTCTTTACGATCCCGTCATCTGCTAATCCCGTTAGATAAGATTCGAGAACCAGAGCCGGTAACATGTGATCGCCCCATAAATATCATCCGAGGGAATCAAAGTTAAAGCCTCTCGTTTTGGTGACATTTCACTAAAGTGCGATGTCGGATGGTTTCGAGGGGGGCCTGAGATATCTCGATTTGTAATTTTCCCGCAAATTACGGAAACCGGTTAAACTCAAGTCGCTGTCAGGCCCCAAATGCTAATGACGGGCGGCGCACTACTACTCTTAAGTGAACCACCCAACTTGGGGGGGTAATGGCAACAAATCACGGAAATTCCCAAATTCCGATTTCTTAAGTAGAAAGCCGCCGGTTCAAGGCAAATGGAGTTCGTTTATCTGTAATTCCGGTGGGCACATGTATAAATCGACCATATCCAGCTATTTGGTTTGCACAGGTGCCTCCGCACCATCGCACCACTCACACCACGCGCCCCACTGGAATTGCTGACGTTGACTCTAGCACGTTTTGCCATTAGTAGCTAATTAGAATTTAATTGCTAATATTTTGTTGTGGTTGCTTGTTTTTCCACTTCCACCTTGCTTGTTTTGTTTGGCATTTCCATGGCTTTCTGCTGGTGTTTGCATGCGTTTTTTTACTGCCACCTTATCAGTATTAACTCGACACTCTATAAATAACCGAACCCACCCGCACAATGTATCCACTGTTAACTGGAAACAATTCCCCCAGAAGCCCGCACCCAACATTAGCTATGGCCAGGTATTTTTAGAAACCATATATCAAATGATTTAATCTAGTTTTCAGTGCGTGCAAAAGTGGAGCAGGGTTTCTTGTAAATTACTTGGTAACATTTTCAGATAAATCTTGAGATGCCTTATCAGCATGGAAAATATTTGCGTTGGACTAACAGAAAGATTCCATTAATGGCACAGGTGTTTTCGCATGACCATCTTGTCTAGATGAGTCTGAATTTTATCAGAAGTTGGCACAAAGATTCCATTTAACTAATTTTCCTCGGGAGTGGGTTTCCTACATGACTATTTTGGATGACTTCTCCAAAGAAAGATAAAGTGATTAAAATAAACCCCAGATTCTATTCATTCAACTTTCCTATCTTTTAAATATTCCACTTTTGGCTAGACACCGGGGCGTATGAGTTATCTCATAATCTGTTGCGCAACTTTTCCCCTGGACTGACAATAAAAAAGCGTTTACGGCAATGACCAGCTGTCTCTCATCGACGAGGCTCGTCACATTCCCAACCTAGGTCAACAATTTCGACCGACCGAAATTTCATCACATTCGTGGTGAAATTGATAGCGAAATGAGTCTGCAATTATTGACAGACGTTGTAAAGATACTTGGTCTAAAAAAAACCAAAGATGGTGTGTCGTGTGCACATTTAGACATCCATACATCCATCCGTTCCCGAAGAAGTACGCACCTTCGATGGCGAAATATGGTCGCCGCCAAAGAAGTGTGCAAACTTGGTTGCCAACTCATTGAAAGGTCTTTTAAATGAGATAGCGACAAAGCATTGCTTTATTGGCGGCAGCTTAACAGGCTTTTATGGTGTTTGTGTTTTGATGTGGGAGCGTCAAAATATTTTGCAAACCATAGATAGGAAAGTTATACTGACATATGTACGTACTTAGTAAGGCTAATACCTACCCCACTAGTTGCTGCGACTAGAGATATTCTCTATCCATATCAGGGCTGGAGATATCCCGAAATCCACCTCAGACACCGGGTCGTCATTTCGTGGTCTTATCGTCAAGTGGCTTTGGCGGTAAACTTAACCGCCCTATTGGCTGAGCTTATTAAGCGATCCATTTACGAGGGGAACGCCCCTGGCAGTGGTTATATTTAGATACGTTATCAGTCGCCGATGAAGATGTTTGTCTTGATCGCTCCCACCTGAAAGAAGATCCATTCGTTCGCACGCCCCAGAATGGCGGTGATAAGCTATCAGTGAGCTCACCACCCCAACCGCTCTGTCTTGATTTCCTGATACCATATAATATCGCTAATACCCCTCGTCCGCTCCGTTCCGTTCCTTTTCGATTCGAATCAACTCGATGCGGTTTGGTTTGGTTCGGCGTGGCTTTTTTATTCCCTTTCAGTAATCATCGCCAGCTCGTGCTGCGTACACGGCCAGTCCTATCTCTTCAGTTTGGAGAACGTTCTCAACGAGTCCTCGCGCCAGCTGCCCTACAACCTAACCTCCGCCAACGGAACCACCGAGGTGGACTTGTTTCCCGACACCATCTCGAACAACACCCGGATAGTTGTCTACAAAAACAGTGAGTATCTGGAAGGGAGTTAATGAGTGACAAGAACCAAGACAAGTTACCACCAAACGTAATTTAACAAGAAATATACAATCTTTAAGATTTCTAAAAGTAAAAACCCTTGTATCTAAAAATAGTGATTATGTGTGCCTATGGTTTATCAAAAAATCAGATCTTAAAGAGGTAAAAAGAATAGAGTCGATCGCACCTTAAAAATTCAAAAATTCGGCTATCGAATTTTGCAACGAAAAATGAATTTATAAACCAATTTAAGTCATGCTATGCAAGTGATAAAATCAAAGTAGCTCAGAAAACTGATAAAATCAACTTTATTGTATGAGTAATGCCTTCATTTCCAAAAAAAGAAGATGACCTTTGGGCGTTGGTTTAACAACAGTCATTTATTTATTGTTAAATATAAAAACAATCTAAACCGTATTTTTAGAATCGTATCTATATTAAATAGTATATTGAAGTGGTTTATACTGATAAAATTTTCTAAAGATAACACTTGGATATATAAATAAATTATAAATTTTTAGTGACACACTTATAATTAATAATATGATATGTAAAAAATATTTTTGAGAAAAGATAACTGTACTTTCCAATAGATATTTATCACTTTAAAGGGGTTAGCAAACTCCTTCATTTAATTATTCTTAGGCAAAAAGTATAGACTCAAATAAAGTATAACACATTGCTAGACTTTGGTTCTACCCTCCCACAAAGCAGTGTAAACATGCCTAGCAAAGTTCAAGAATGTTTTGAACTGCTATCAGATGATCTTTGTTTCGTAATCTCATAGCCCTCCGCCTACTGGTAATATCTCAATTTTACCGGACCCTTGAAACCGCAAATCAACCACTACTCCCGTCTAATTACGGTGCCCACAACTGGGGTTAGCCCCTATCAATAGGCCATTTTAGCCATTAGCGTAGTTCGATGACGCGACAGTAATACGATTCGAGTAGTTTCGTCATAAAGTTTATAGCACAGACCCACAATTCGTGACTAGAAGCACAAACACAGTGTGTGATAACCTGATGTTCGGACAATAAACTTTGGTACTGGGATGAAATAATTGTTGATGAAATTCTAGGCATTCTAGGGATTTCCATTGAGAGTCTGGTTTTTGAAATCGAATTAAAGCATAAGGTGGTCTTTGTCTATGGGTTGGCTGGAACTTGATCTCTATGATACTCAAGATTAGCCACAACTAATTAATACTAAATACTTTCAGCTGTCGTCGAGTCGCCCAACGAACTATCCCAGACAGCGATGGATGTGATCACGATTGTGTGGTATGTGGCTACTTTTTTGGCCCTGGCGGCCTTCTTCATGCTGATGGCCTGTTCGGATCGCCGGTGCCGTGACATGAGACGTCGTCCCGCCGGAGGACAATCCACGGAGGGTCTGAGGGCACCACCCACGCCCTCGCCATCTTACAGTGAATTCGCACCTCCCAGCTACGATACGGTAATTAAGATGCAGCATGCAGCCAAGACGAGCGTGTTTGTAATACCGTTCAGCAACAAGGCCGGTGAACTGGGTGCTCCAACCTCACCGCCACCGCCCCTGACACCCTCTGCCATTCCACCGGTAGTCACCTGCGACATGATCATCGTTAATGAAATGCAAAAGTCCGCCGACTAACCGATAAGCAGCCGGTGGATCCCTGGATTCAGCCTTCTTACAACCCCGACTCTGTGATATTTGCTGTTTATGGCAATTGGCCAAGTATTAGATGTCGTAAGATCCCCACAAAAAAGACTGACAATGAAAGATATCTGTATGTGCATATGCATTCAAATGCCAGTTCAACTGAAACTATATGAATAAGCAATTAACTGTAATAAATCAAAACATTATCCAAGATGATTCACCCAACGGGGTGTTTGGTTTTCTAAGAACTCGGCTTTCAAACTAATAGGGGACTTATGGGGGATATTCCAAGTTGAATGGGAAATTTCTGGCAACTCGCTAGGCAAAAGCTTGGAACGGAAGTACTCCCAAGACAAAAACCATATAGGGAAGCTTTTTCGGGTGAAAGCTTTTTCTGGGTAAACTTGGATTCAAAACTGATAAGCGTAGAGTTCAGGGGAATTTTTCTGTTGTGGGGCTCCCACTCGATGCGAACGGATTGACAAGGCCTGAAAGTGAACCCTTTTAATATTATCAGGTGATCTGGAGCTGAAGTGCATTCTGTGTGTTTACCCAAAAAAAAAATATGACAATAAAAAACCTTTGTTTGACCACATCTCTGGGGTGAAAAAGGGATGAGTTAAACAAACAAAAATAAAGTACTTCCCTTGCCCATTGCCATTTGGCCTCTCAAGGTTAGGCATTTAGTTCATTCATCGATCGGTTCTAGTGAATTTCGATTTCTATCCCGTCGCAATTGTTTAGAACGGTCGAAGGTAACATCTGGCCCAAAACAGAATTGTTGTTTCTGGGGCACAGATCAGCCAGGACGCCGCGGCGTATGCGTAATATTTCAATTTTTGTTTATTTTGCACACACATATTTCACACAAATTGTTTTCAAAAATTATACAAACAGTGTCGATAAGAATTGGTGCTGGTGGAGAAGGGGAGGCTGGGGACGGGGATGTGTGTGCCAAACCAGATCGGATTGCAGTAAAATCACGTTACGCCCCGCTCAATGCGGTTCTTGTTCTGGCCCCCCTCCGATGGCCGTTGATTGGCGCTGGTCGCCCGAGTTGAACGCTTGATTGTGGCTCCATTCATTGGGCGATCTTCAGTGCACGGAAAGAAACTTCCTCACTTTAACCATCTGTTTAAGAGCGGATCTGTGATAAATAAGAAAAGCATATAGGATTGTAAAAATATAACTATAAAGATCCAACAAATTATTAAGATGAATGGGAGCTTAATCATCTATTATTGGTCCATTTGTCTGTAAACAATATAAAAATAACATGTGAAAAGTGCTTTTCTAGGAAAGAACTGATAAGCATTAAGTACAGGGGAATTTTTGTTAAGGTCCAAGATGTTCATTTCTGATTAAAAATGCCTTACTGATTTAAATGTTTTTTAATTTGTATAAAAAGTGTTTGGATCTTTAAACCTTTTGTAAATAAAATATTTAGATTTAAATGTAACGGAGTTTAAATTTTAATAATTTATATGTTCTTTAATATATACAAAAAAGTGTTTGGATCTTGTAACCGTTTGTAAATAAAATGTTTAATATTGAATGTAACGGAGTTCTCAATTTTTTCAACAAGAAGACCTGTGTTTGGATTTCTTTTTTGTCAGCAATGAACAATAGCGCATTTTAATATATTTATCCTTTACAAATTCGTAGGCAATAGCTCAATATTTTTAAATTTAACATATTAAAATGATATCTTACAAAGATATTTTTATTAATGTCATTTATAATTTATTATTACTCGTATTATTATTTTTTTCCATTACTTACACCGCTTCCTCTTCAAGTAAAAATTATTTATAACGTTGTAATTTTTTTCAGTGCACTGAAAACCGATCACAGATATGAATATTATTCAATCACATAAATCATAATTTAAAAGTGGCTAGCATTTTCTCCGCGTGTTGTGAAGAGCGTTGCTGATTGAGGCGGATGAGGCCGATCGGAGTTGGCCAATTTTCTAAACTCTCTCACGGTCTTCAATTGAACCGCGCTTCCTCGACACTTCCTCCCTTCGCCCCATCTCTTTCTCCGCACCGATCTTCCTCTTCTTCCGTCTCTTTCTCTTTCTTTAGTTGTGCAAAATCGCACGCCTCGCTCTTTCTCCCTCTCGTCGCGCTGTTGCTCTCCCTCTGTCTCTCTCTCTCTCTCTCTATCAGCAAGTATTTTTTCGTTGAAAAGACTCTGTAGCGTAATTAGCTGGGATCAGTCCAACGCAAACCGTGCCATCGAGTGGAAGTGGATTACCAACAGAGTGAAGAGTGTATTGAAATCACAGAAAACCCTTTTCCGGTCCGAATAGAATCGATTGTAAGCATATCACGTATACGCCCGGTAAAACAGCCGAATATCCCATAATGTCGCCGAGGAAGAGCTTGCTGGGCTGCCTGCTGGTCAGCACAATCCTGGTGCTGCACCAGGTTCTGGCCGATGTGGAGACGAACGAAGTGGATACCAGCGGCGATGTGTACAGTAAGTGTCCGCGGATCAGCCATATGACATATGCCATTACTAAAGCCCCTACCATTCGAATCGCAGTGCTGCAGGGCGTGCGTGTGTATCCCAACGATCGACAGTGTGTTCTGGTTGGAGGTCTATGTGTCGAAACGAAGGACTGCCTTGAACCCACCTCGAACAGGGGACTGTGCCCCTCGAGTGCCGGACAGGAAGTGGAGTGCTGCTACGAACGTGAGTAGTCTGCTGGCTCCTGCTGTGTGTAGCATCCTGCTTAAAGTCCCCAAAACCCCCATCAGTCCGATCCCAACCGCCTTCTATGCACCCCTAAATATCTAACCCAAAACCATCCGCCATTCCCCTACCTACTACCCATCGCCACTAACCGAACAAACCCGATCCATTCTGTGTGTCCCGCCGTCCTCAAAAACGTCAAACGTCATCCCGTTGCCGTTGCAGTGCCGGTTAGACCAGCGCCCTGTGCGGAACACTTGGGACAGTGCATGGACCGATGCCACCAGAGGCTCCTGCGACCCGGTAACGATTGCAAGAATGGCCAAGTCTGCTGTGTCCTGATTTAGTTATACTTAACCACACCAAAAACACATACCCGTGCAGAGAAAGGGCATTTCCAAGTCGGTCAGCACTGAGATTTTCATTGCAAAGTACCAAAACAGCCTGACAAATGGATATACTGTCATAGGTTTATTAAGTTTTCAACGAATTTCTTACAAATGCTGTTAGTTTCTTATCCATTTCTTTTTAACTTATTTTTATTTATTTAACATTTAAAATGAACAACGAAATTTCTTACAATGTTTATCTTATAAGGAAAAAATAATAATATTTAAAATTAACTTCAAACTAATTTGCATAAAATTAAACCCAGTTGGTTTAAAACAGCTTGAAACTGATTTGATTGTGTTATTTCTCTGCATACACCCACACACCGTACATAAACATGTATTTATTTAACTATATGTATATTAATTATATTGTACGAATACTTTTGTATGACATCTTAAGAACCCCACATCTCTCGACAAAGTGAAATATTTGACTGCTTCCAATAAATGCATTGTAAATATTTTCCAAACCGAATCTCCACTAACTCACGCAGTCACGTATCGGAGGATTATGTAAGTATGGGTATGGGTCAGCTGACAGCTTCCAGTCCGATCCCCTTATCATCTGGAATTTATTCCGTCACGTGCCCCAAGTACAGTTGTGTGACCACAACAAGAGGAAGAAAGCCCCCAAATTGAGAGAATTGGGGGAAAAAACAAAAGCCCAATCATTAGCAACTGAAATGGGAATCCAAATCGGAAGATGATGAGCGGCAATGAATCACAAGATGGCAATTGAAAACAACAGCTTATCGCTATCTTCCAAGATTCAATGTCAAGTTCAGATCCCAAAAACCAATTCGTTCTTTGGACCGAGTCTAATATAGTTGAGTTGAGAACATTTTCCAAACAGTGCCAAACAAAAATAAACGACCTTGCTGCCACACATCGCGAAGATATATCTTTCACGTACATGTGTGGAGCATGCCTTGGTATTCTGTACTCCCCGATATTCTGATATTTGTTTGTATCTTTCGGTTATGCATGATTTCATTGCTAATGTTTGGACGCTTATTCCATTCAGTTATTTATAGTTATTTATAGTTGGGCGGTCGGTCGCTAGACGGGGTCACTTCAGTTTAGTTCGATTTGAATTGGCCAGCGCTCTTGAGTTGAATGAATTCGTATGCAGGGCGGCATTGAGGCGCCAGCATGTGCTTATGTACATATGTAAGATCCAGAAAACATGAATGGAATAGGTCTATAAACGTTCGGAATGGACTGCTTGTTGGGTGGCAATTGCTTAAAGTATTATAAAACTATCTTCCTAAAATATTACTAAATTATTAAAGTATGATGCAACTAAAAACCTGATTTTACGAGTTCACAAATATCTCTTGGGAAATAGCTCTAGCGATTCCAGAAACTTCCGTCGTATTTTTTGTTTTCAAATATTTTTAAAGCCATTTATTGAGTTTCCAGAAACTTCTGTCCTAGTTTTTTGTAGATTTTGAAATTTTTACATTTTAATTTTTATATGCATCAACCCACTTAGAGCCTCCTACCATCAGATGAGATAAATACCACTTAACCAAATGGTTTGAAAGTTTCCAAAAGCGAGGCTTTTTTTGTAGACCCCTTAAAAGTAGGGAATATGGCTCTTAAACATACGACTTACAGATTAGTGTAATCTAAGAATATATCCTGACCTTGCACTGAGTGCATTGCATCACTCTCGCTGCACTCGAATTCATTGTCATGGCACTTAACCCGCCAATGCCAATGACAGTGAAAACATCGGCCTTGTCCGGACACTATTCGCGATCTATATCAATCAAGACGTACAGTGGTCGGCATATGTATTTTGACAAAATAAAAGTTAAGTATACTCATAACTTGAATTTACTTCTTGTAAACTATAGGCATCAATGGAAAGGTAATTTCAATGCCGTTTGAATGATACAATACATTTCTTAACCCATTCAGTATTTATTGAAAAGGACGAATTTGTGTAAATCAACTTTTAAATTTTTTTTAAAAACTTTTTTCTTCGTCTTGAAAACTTAAATTTTTTGATGCAAAAAGTTTCTTCAAACAAAAACAATAGTAACTGCAAAAAGAATTTTTCAAAAATAATTTTTCTTATATTTTTTATGAATTTTTGAAAATGCTTAAAAACAGGCATTTGAGCCATATTTTTCTCTTTTTCATACAAATTTTTTCCGACATTGTCACCTTCAAAAAATCATAAAAAATATAAGGAAAATGATTTTTGAAAAATTCTTTTTGCAGTTACTATTATTTTTGTTTGAAGAAACTTTTTGCATCAAAAAGTTTAAGTTTTCAAGTCGAGGAAAAAAGTTTGAAAAAAAAATTTAAAAGTTGATTTACACAAATTTGTCCTTTTCAATAAGTACTGAATGGGTAAAGAAATGTATTGTATCATTCAAACGGCATTGAAATTACCTTTCCATTGATGCCTATAGTTTACAAGAAGTAAATTCAAGTTATGAGTATACTTAACTTTTATTTTGTCAAAATACATATGCCGACCAGTGTATGTGCATTCCGGCCGGAGTGTACTACGTGGCGCTCTATGTATATACGGTTCAATTGAGTAAATCAGTGAACACCAAATCACTACTGCGTCTTAGATTGCATAAGCTGTGCAGTAATTTCGAGAAATCGGAATCGCTGGCGATTGAACCCGAACCCGAACTCGAACCCAAAACAAAACCCCAACACCGAAGCGATCCGAGCCGAGCTTGCCGTGCCGTAATATTTGCTGTTTTTTCTGTTAAGTTTTTTTTAGGTACTTTAGTTTTTTTTAGGTAAGTGCGAGCGTTTCGTGCTGGGGACGGGGCTTATCAGGGCGGTTCATCATCATCGGGCGGCATGTCATATAATAAATTATTTATGTGGTTTTTTTTATTTTTCCCGCTTTTTGCATTTGTTTACGTTTTCGATTTCGTTTTTGCGAGCTAATCCCGATTTTTGCTTTTATTTGTGTCGCATTTGCACCACACAGAAACTAATAAAACTTTGTGTGCGGATTTTCAGGGGGTTTCAGGGGGTTTTCAAGGGGAGGGGGTTGGCCGGTTTGGGATAAGGCTCAGAAACGCTCATATTTCATGTCATAGTTCGCACTCATTTTTCACTTGACATAAAACTGCGTTGGCGTTTGCGTCTCATATCCTGGGGCCAGTGCAACGCAATTTGCATCTCCATCCTTCGTCCTTTGCCTTTTTATATTTTGCACTTTTTTAATTTTTATTTTCGCATGTGGCTGGTAGTGTGGAGAGTATAAAAGAAAATGATTTTGTGGCATAAATTAACGCCAAGAGGCACACGGAACACTATTAAAAAATACGGATCCGCCAGAGCACACATGCCGGGTTGGGTGGTCGGGTGGTTGGGTGGTGGGCTGGTTGGCTGTTTGGCTGAGCTGCATGGGTCCTGGATCCTGGGTCCTGGCCAAAAGGATGTGGCAAGTCAATGGCTTATGGGAAAGCCAGGATATTCACTTCACGGCCGCGTGCACTTCGTGTTGTCATGGGGTCGGAGAAGCTCCTCATGCAATTAATCCTTTTTTCCCCTGGCTCGAAGCTCATCCTTTGCCAGCAAAATGACTTTTTAAGTTAATTTCTTATGCGCTGAGAATCTTCATCGGGCCCCGGTCATATAAAATGTGAAAGGGGGATCAATTTTAAACTTCAACTTCACAGTCCAAATAATCCATTAAATATAACTGATATAATAGCCGTCTATTCTAATGAATTTGAGTGCAGCTGTCAGCCATGCGATTCAATTGTTTGTTTGGCTTTTTTAGCAAGTATTAAAACTCGTTTTTTGCCAGGATCAACAGGTTAGGCTTTGCCTTGTTTGCTGCCAAATATTTGGGTTAGGTAAACCCGATTTAATGGTCCGCACAAAGTCAACACGACATCAAATTTTCCTTACCCACACGAAATACAGTGCAATCGAAAAATATAAGGCTGACTAATTTAAGTTCTTGAATGTTTCTTTATGAAGTTACCCATGTATAAAATTAATATAACAATGTTTTAAAGCTAATTGTAATTGATCCTAACTTTCTAGGTTGATCAAAAGAAGAAATTGAGTTATTGTTATTCATAAGCCCCAAAAAAGTAAAAGTAAAAAAGTAAATGACCCACAAATATAGAAGAAATATCGAAATTTATGGAATACAATATACACTTTACATTAAATTACCTACAAAATCGGTTGTTTTAATAAAATATCGATGTTTTTTAAAACATAGCATAGTGCACAAGTTTTTGTTTAGCAAACTTACATATTGTACAATAAGTATATGTCTTTAGATTTTGATTCCGCTAAGAACTCTTAAAAAGTCTCAACAGTTTAGTTACGCACCTTACCGTTGAAATTCCTTTGTGGCCTCTCGACCATCTTACGAATTTGAAATTTTGATGCAAATTGATGTGCAAATGGCATAAAATGAAATTACTGAAAATCCTTTGACAAATATGAGGGAGTCGGAGGGTAACCGCTCTGCACTCCATTCACCTGAACAATATCCCCCCTGTGGATAATACCATTAAAAGCGAGTAAATGAAAGTGAAAATGGAAACGTTTCCATAAGCCAGGGAGGCAGGATGATTTGTGCCGAGATGTCGTACCACCTTTTGATGTAGACAGAATATAAACCATATTCATGCGTATATAGATAGATGAGATGAGATGGGGTGGGGATGTATTACCCCTGACAAATTCCCTTACAATTAGCAACAAATTTTGGTTGTGTTGTAGCCACACCAAAGTGCTGACCCCTGGGGCTGAATCTTTATTTTTTGTAACGGGATTAACCGCAATTTCTTTAATTAAAATTTCCATCACTCCCGTCGCTGGGTCGGAGTTCCTAAGCCGGGTAAAGCGAAAGAAAAAGGATTGTAAATTACGCTGTCAGTCAGTCACTCAGTCTGTCAACAACAATTAAAACGGGAAGCAACAGCAACAAATTAAAAATTCATCTTCCGCATGATTCCCGGGAATTCAGCCATGTCTTACATCTTTGCAGCCCCACCTCCGGGATGGCACTCGCATCCTATCCTGGGGTTACTCGATGTGGTCCTTTTTTTAATTTGATTGGCACGGCGTTTCCGGTTTTTCTTTACTTACCACCTTGCTCCTTGATTAGCTCACTGGGAAAATACTCGTTGAAGGAGTTTGGCTTGGGGTGGGTTAATGATTTTTTCTATTCTTGGATATTTGTTCTGTTCCAACGAGGGCGTCCTATTTCGACTGATTTGATCAGCCTTTTTTGCCTCATTTTTAATTGAAACCTAATTTTCTGGACTTTCTTCGTTATTTGGAAAATAAAAGGAAAATGGCCCCAGGTGAGCCAAGTTTTTCTTTTACCGCCGAAATAATCCCCTTCTTGGCTTTTTGGCATATCATATCATATCATAGCTGACTTCTTTTCAAACATCTCGAGCTTCAGCACGCTCAACTTTTTGACTTTTGTTGTGTGCAAATAATTTGCAGCTCGTTGGCTGGCGTCATTAACAATGTAGGGGGAAATGGCAGAAAGTTTTATCTAATTAATGAAACTTCAACGCAACGTCAGCAGTCAGAACTCTTGGCTCTCGAGGTGCCCCGAATCCCCCGAATCCTAGAATCCCGCCTTGATGTCGTATTGTTGACAGTGACGATATTGGGATACGCGGGATAATGGGGGGTACAACGTGGCGTATGATTGCTTTTGTGTAAACAACCGACGCACATACAGCTGTATATCTATGTAGCTTTTTAGCTTTTCCTTTTTCATTTTGCCATCTTTTTTTTTGCTGCTTCTTTATCCGTCAAAAGTTTTTTAATTAGCAACAAAAAGTAAAGGGTTGAATATCGCGTCGAAAAGTTTCGGTAAGCTAACAATTAAGTTTCGGCAATGCCGCTGACACGCCCCCTCACTCGAAAAAGGGGCTGGGCGCGAGTGCAGATAATAAGTATTAAGCAACACTTACTCGCAATTAAGTTTTGCTCCTGCCAACGCCGCGTCCTTCTTTGTTGACTTTTTTCCAGGCTGTAATTACGCGTAATCGCAAAATTAATTCCTGCACATGACTGCACCGCTCGGCGGACAGAAGATACATCCTTTTCCCTTTTCCCCTTTCCGGCGAAGGAATAATGCCAGGATACAGGGAGTGAGGATTTCGTTCTGCAAAATAACCCGCAGCCAAGTCAAGGATATCGCCGCTCCCAACTGGGAATGCATTAAGAAGCGGGCCGCGGATAAAACTCCGTAATATTCATGAGATTTGTTTTATGATGTGCTAACAATGCGTAAATGTGCAACTACAATAGCCACAACAAGGAGCTTCAAGTTAAGTGGAACACCTTTCTCAGGTCCTTTTTTCTAGCGTTTCAGCCACGACGACTGCAATGGCCACTAAAGTTTTTTCGGTTTCCTTTGTGCTCCTGAAAATATCCTTTCTTGGGGTAACCCCCTTTGTATATGATGGTTGTGCAGCTACTTAAAAAAATATTTTTAAAAATATATTTTATTTAAAAAACTTTTTTAAATCTTAAATGTAAGATCCTCTACTTTTGAAAATATTCCACATATACTTATTTATTAAATTATTAAAAAGTTTGGTAAGATCAGACTTTAAATTTGACATTCTTGAAATTCGGGGATAGGTCGATAAACCATTTCACAATATAAAAATAAATTATAAAAATACCCCGAAAAAGATTTACTTCAAAAGAATTATTCATTTCAAACCATTATAATTTCTTATCATAATTCCCAAAATTTGGGTAATCAACCGCGCAGAAAAAGTCATGACGAATCAAA